AGAGTGAAAGGAGAAACTACTTGTTAGAGAATCTTTTTGTAACTCTTATGTAATTGTGAACAGCAGTGAATGTGGCTTTGTTTTCTTCATCTGTTTTCCTTGCATTTCCATGGATGAGTTCTTTCAATGTTATCCTAGGTAGAATTGTTTTGTGTCTTTGGTATAAAGTACATTCTTTGAAATAGTGTTCGGCACTTTCTATTGGGTTTCCGCATTCACATTTGGGGCTGTCCTTTACATGGTTGAGATGTAGATCTTGGTTTAAGTCGCTGCATCTAAGTCTTATCTGTGTGTGTATTATTTGAGTGTCTCTTTTCCCATAGTAATAGTAATTTGGTACCTTCTTCTTGTTTGTTATCAATTTTTTGAAGTGCTCTTCAGCTTTTGTGCTTTTTATTGATGCATCAATGTCATTCCACACTTTTATTGTGGCTGGTAGAAATGATTTTCTGTACGCTTCAGTTCTGCATACAGGCATTAATAGGTTGTTAGCTCGTCGGAGATCATGATCAGACCTTCTCTTGGTTGCTTCAATTACATTGCTCAACGAGTCTGTTATTTTTTTGTTTATGAGTTTGTGCATTATTAGTAGTTTTTGTGTTGTTCGACGCTCTTGAAGTTTTGCCCAACCTGTTTCTTTGTATATCAACTCGTGGCTTGTTCCTCTTTTTGCCCCTGTACAGATTCTTGCAGCTTTTAGTTGTAGTTCTTCTAGTAGGTCTTTTTCATAGTTATGACAGTTGTCCCAAACTGGAGAGGCATATTCAATTATAGGCCTAATAAATGCTTTATACATAATTTCCAGTGTTTTTCGGTCAAGTTTATATTTAAGTCCTCGCATGACATCTATCATCTTGGCAGCTCTGTTTGTTATGTTCCTTATGTGTGATCCCCATGTTCCATTGTTGTCTAATGTCAGGCCTAGATGTTTATGGTTAGTCACTTCTTTGATAACTTTTCCATTGAAAGTGAGTTGAAATTGTCCATTGTTTTGGTGTTTTCTCGTGAATAACATTGTTTCTGTTTTTTCTGGGTTGAAGGTTAGTTGCCATATATTGGCCCACTCGTTTGTTGATCGTAGTTGTTCGTTGAGAGTTTCAGTTATGTTGTCATTTTCTTTTCCACTTGCAAGAAATGTAGTATCATCTGCATATATCCTTCCAGTGCATTTATCAGTTAGGTTTTCCAAGATATCATCTATGTACACCAAAAATAACAATGGTCCTAGGATTGAGCCCTGTGGAACGCCTGCAGAGATATACCCCCAGCTGGATGTTTCGCCATTGAGAATGACCCTTTGTTTTCTGTTGGATAGGTAATTTTTGAACCATTTTAGTAAGTTTCCTTTGATTCCCTTCCGTTCTAACTTGTTAACTAGGCCTTTATGCCATACTCGGTCAAAAGCTTTTGACATGTCACAATAGACGGCTCTTGTGTTTTCATTATTCTCCATCGTCTCCATGATGTAGTTGTACATCTCTAGTAGTTGCGTTGTTGTGGAGTTTCCTGGGGAATAAGCAGATTGGAATTTTGACAGCAATTTCCATTTGTGTAGGTAGTTATGTACATGAGTATACATTGCTCTTTCGAATACTTTCGCTACACAGTTCAGTAGAGATATTGGTCTGTAATTTGTTGCTATTTCTCTTCTGTCTTTTTTGAATATTGGTGTAACATTTGCTTCTTTCCAAATGTCTGGGAAGACATTCTGTTTTAATGATGCATTAAATATTTGTGCCAGTATCGGGGCTATTGATTTTGCAGTCATTTTTAGAACACGTGGACTTATATTGTCAGGCCCTAGTGACTTTCCTGGATTCAGATTTATAAGTATGTCTTCGACTGTCTGATTTGACAATCTTACCGTTTCTATACTTTTGTCAGTTGATGCTTGGAGAATTGGTGGATCTTGATTAGTTTCCAGTCTGCTTTGGGCTAAAAAATGATTATTCAATAATTCAGCCTTTTCTTTGTTGTTTGATATTGAATGACCATTGACAAGAAAGGGTGTTTCATTGTTATCTGATGCCCTGAAATCGTTGTAGAACTGTTTGACCACAGTCCACCAGGTCTTTGTTCCAGTTTTTCCATTGACCAATTTCTGTGAGAGTCTTAGTTCGTATTCTTCTTTGGCATTTCTGAGTTCGGTTATTGTTTCATTTCTCAGCTTTTTGTATTTGTCCCATAGCGTGTCTGTTCTTAGTGTTTTTGCCATCTTGTAAGCTCTGTTCCGCCTTCTAATGACACGTTTTATTTTCGTTGTAATCCATGGCAGATCATTTTGCCTTATAGTTATTGTCTTTTCTGGGATAAACTTGTTTATTATGCCTTTAAATTCTTTATACCAATTCTTTACAATTTCATTTACGTCAGTGTCATTGTTGTTATCATGTATATTTAGTATTTGATTCCAGTTCCTACTCTGTATGTCTTCGTTCATCGCTTTCCAGTCTACAAGTTTATAGTTTCTTATTGTTCGCTTATAGTCTTTACCAGACTGTTTTTTTATGTTTATTTCTGTGTATATGGGGCTGTGCTTGCTCATTGATGGTGTTAGTACATCTGTGCGTATGATCGTTCCTGGAGATGTTGTTGCCAAGATATCAATTAAGGTTGCGGCTGTATCTGTTATGTGAGTAGGTTCTTCTATCATTTGATGTAGATTGTATTCTTGAAACAGATCATCAAGTTTGTTGTTCGTCTTATTAAGCATGTCACAATTAAGATCGCCTACCATATAGACATATTTCTTACCATTGGCATATTCTTTGATATTTTCAAGTAAGTTGTCTATGAGAGTCCATGTGTTTGCTGGGCTGTTTGGAGCTCTGTACACTGTAGTTATGAGAACTTTTTTCGTTTCTATAAGGACTTCGGTGCATAATGCTTCTAGTCCATTTGGTACCAAGTTACTTACATTTTTGAAAATATAATTTTGTTTTACAAAAATAGCAACACCTCCTCCCCTTCTTTCTAGTCTGTCTAATCTTACTGGTAGATGGTAGCCTCCCAGGGTAATGTTGCTGTTAGGTACATTATCGTCTAACCACGTCTCTGAGAGACACACTATGTCACTGTTTTTTGATTCTATTTTCAGTTGGTCCATTTTGTTCCTTAAACTTTGAGCATTCATGTGAATAATGCTGAAATGAGTCGAGTTTCGAAATTGTTCCTCTGCTGATAGAGTTGATGAGATTGATGATTCAGAGCTACTATTATGCCCGTCTTGGTTGCAATTCTTAGCCATCATTGTTATGGTGGCTTTGTTGTTTTTGATTTTTGATATTTAAGGGCATTTATCTCACAAGTTTTCCTCCTTTTACCATCTCCCTTCTCCCCCTTTGCCATCTGCACTATGATTAAGAGATTATTTATTGTAGCAATGATTGAATAGAAAAGATAACTTATTGTGATCTAAAGTGTTCATTATATCTTAAAACGTGTCTGCTTTTCTGAAAGGAAAAAAAAAATAAATACATTGGAAGTCAATGTTCATAAATTTTTTAATTGGTGACTGCGTACATCATTGATTAATTTGATACTTTTCGAGTTAAAATTTACTTTGGGTAGGGACCTCTGGTGAAACATGATTTCAAATTGATTGGATATAGGTTTTTTAAACTGAAACACCTTCCCACGCGTTCGTATATCGGTATATTTATTGTTAGTTGGAGTTTGATTACATAGTACGCTCACCGGAAGTTGCTTAAAAAAAATGATTTAAATTTCAAAATTTAAGTGAGTGGATCGTTTTACGATTTTATGATAGAATATGTTCATATTCGCCGAAGAAGGTGTTTCAGACTGAAAAATACAGGTATGATTATGTAAAATAGTCGTGTAATTTGAGTTAAGTTAAGTTTGGGACATCTCTTTCAGGTCTGCTAAGTCTACTTCCTTCGGCTCGTCTTTTTCTTTCTTTTTGACGTATACCTGACCTCTGTATGTCCAGACTTTATATATTTTGTTTTCTCTCTTCAGTTTTCTGCCTTCTGTTAGAACCTTTGCAGTTTTGGGAGGGAGATCGTCGTTTATAAATACCCTTTCTTTCGTTTTAAAAAGTTTTTCTCTACCTCTGTAAAATTTGTTTCTGAGATTCATGTCATTGAACCGAATTGTTATTGCCCTCATTTTACCGTCTTGGTACTTCCCCATGCGGAAGGCCGAGAAGTCAGCTGTAGCGATTGTCTGGTCAATCTTTTCTTTGGCGAAGTTCACGATTTTGTCTTGAATTCTCTCGTTGTTGTCATCCTGGATGCCCACGACTCTGACTTGAAGTGCCAGTCTTTGGTTTTGCTCGGACTGAAGTTCTTTATGAAGTTCCTGCAATTTTGCCTTTGTGTCTGAGAGATCCTTCTCCAGTTTGTTTGTTTACTCGAGTAACTCAAACCTATTTACACCCAAATATTAGTTTCACCTGCAATGTTATTTGCAGAAATTTGTTACAAGGGCCCACGGTTGCTGTTATGTCAGATTTTCAGTGTTACTGCCCTTTTTGTCATACATAGAAAGTCACACAGTGACACCGACAGAGTTCCATAGATCGAGGCCTAGCCTCAACTCAACGTCAAGTCACATTTTTTTTATTTCTGATATTTTCAATATCACATAATATTTTCATCAGCTTAGAGAAATTACTCGTTGAAGTACATCTAATATGTTGAACCAATAAGTAAGGATCATTTATAAGTGTTTCAGAACACAGATTTTGACATACAATCATCAGAAAAATTTGAATTTCTTACCTGAATGTGAAAATCGTTGATTTACGTCCGCCATATTTCTGTCAGATTCCAACAAACAATGTATTTACTATTTGCAATAGATTAGTTTTAATTTTTATTCCCGATAAAAATATCATTAATTAAAATTTATTCAAACTATACCTATCTTACTGCATTAATGTGTAATTCAAAAGTAGAATGGATAGGTAACGTCTAATATGGGACTAAAAGAAAAGGCAAGATCATTTATGTTTTTCCGGAAATGAGGTCATTGTGCGCAAAGCAGGTGCGCGTTTAAAATCGTAAGAAAAACATTTTTATTTAACATTTTTATTTTACCTAATTGTAAGTTATTTCAGTGCTCATAGTATGTTGTCATATGTACAGTATTTGAACTATGACTCCTTGAATTCATTTTGATTTGTTTCCTGCTAATTAGATCCTTAGTGTAGGGCATTTAGCTAGTTTGGGATATAGACCTACATTTAGACTGTATCCTTCGTCTGAATAAATTCAGACTGTAAGTCACCTATTGTAAAATGTGGTGTTGTATAAATGTTACAAATAAGTTTGTTTATGATAAAATGATTACCTTATAAAGAAATTACAATATTATTTTTTCGTATATTGTCCTCTTACTGAAGATATTCAAAAAATGTACAGACGCTTCTTGTAGCGAAGCCATTGATTAGGTCAAGCCATTTTGGCAATGCCAATTCTCACGATAAAGGAGATTTAGCCAGTGACGTCAGTCTATTTGTAAACAAATAACACGTGGAGCGGACGGAGCAACCTTACGGAAGCGTATTGATAAATTCCATTTGTGCGGGAATTTATTAGATCTAGTCATTTATTATCATTATCCCGATTAATTTTCGTCATTTATAGTAAATAGAGCGGAAATATTCATGAAGAAGGCCGAGGTAATCAAGTGGTCATGTGTTTGAAGTTAAAAGTCAAAGTTCAAAAATTTGCATATCTCGTTTGGATCTCGTGAACTCAAACGTCCTTGACATTGATTTCGCGATCTACTTATGAACACATCCTGAAGTTTTGGTGAGTCTGATCATTTCATTATTTTATATCAACTTGTACCCGCCTTATACAAATATTTTTGCTTCTAGTTTAAGATGAACATCTCTTCAACATATTCACCAATTTTCAAGGTGAACATTCTTGTAATAAACGAGAAATTTATGTGCACAAAATATCGCCGAGATTTCCATGCCAAGGGTATCAATCATAACAGATCGAATATTATATTCGGTCTGTTGGATACATACTAGACCTACAGTGGGGATCATAAAGAATTGCAAAAGCTATGAAAATTACATGCTGTCGCACATGTAATAAATTCTTACCTCAGTCAGTGTATTCAGTGCTCTATTTTCTCCGTCTTAGTAAGTCCAAATATAGTGGAATTTGTGTCCCTAATGACAAATAAGAACTTCAAAAGTTGAATTGGATATTCACATGTTATGCCGACTCTTCAAATGTTGAGGTGATTTTGTCGCCAAATTGCGCCGGAACGGAGGATTGGCTCCCAGAATGCAACATGACACGTGCCAGCTTTCAAAATGCTGTTCCGCCATTTTGAAACCTGTCATGAGTAAATACGGTTAACTGATGTTGCATTCTGGGAGTCAACCGTCCTTGGATAACAAACATGGCAATTCATGAAAACATTCTTTCGATTTGGTAGGGATTTATCCATAATTTGCAGGTATGAAGCTTTGGATTCATTTATTGTGCTACTTTAGTGAACGGGGATTATTTTTCTACCGCTTGGGAGAGTTTGAGACACGAAACTTTGAAATTAGCTCATTGTGACAACTTGTGAACGTTGAGTTTTATTTTTGTCCCCCACTGTATTGATTCAATTAGATCCACAGTGTAGTCTAACTCTAAGCAAACAGTGATCACTCTGCACTCTCATCTCATAAGGATCTAGAGCAAAGGGGTAACTTCAACAGTTACTTATTAGAAGTAGAATATCCGTTTCCGCCATGTTTGATTTCTAGAAAAATTGAAATCTCGCAAGATCTCGATCCATGTGAGAAAAAACATGGTTTCCCTCTTTAGATTAGAAATTAAAGCAAATAAACAACAAGGTGTCAAAGTTACCCCACATGTTGAAGTTACCCCACATGTTGAAGTTACCCAAAAATGGTGTCGACGTTACACCCCTTCGCCCTACTCTGTTTAGGTCACATTCAAGGAGGATTGGCCCCATGGTTCCATCTCAATATTCTGCCATATATCGATTCTCTATATTTTACCCATTGCACTCAACTCCATGTTTTACATGTATGTAAATGGTCCCCAGTGCCTGCACTGCTGATAAAGAGCCTGACAGTCATCCCAGGGTATCCCAACATAAAGGGAATTGCTAGGGGGGTACATGGGCCAACAAGGAAGTTCCCTTACAATTTTAAATGAGTTGTTAACCATAGATCTATTTTTAAATGTTAATGCAATGTTTTAAATTATATTTTATACAAATTCTATCACTGGTATTTATCTGCTTTAATATAGACTTATAAGCCTTTTGCAGATTATTCACATAGACATAGAGTCATGTCATGATTACAAAATTTGAAATCAAACAACCACCATATTTTCACTTCAGAATTTGAATCACAAGTTTTAGTCCTTCAGTAACTGATCAAAAAGTTTCAAAACACAGGAAATGATCAAGATATTAGTTTGAATCTTATGAATGGCTGATTATTATGAATTCATAACCATTTATGTCAGACAATAATGACATTTTCAATATTGATGTTGGTCAGGGTTGCTAGAATATCAGGCATTCTCCTTGCAAATCATTTGCCGAAGAAATCAATACTGAAAAATATAGAGTGTGTTTGTCCATATAATATTGTTGTGGCTTTTTAGTCAGTTTTAGGTTTGATTCACAAAAAGTGATTTGGATTGTGCATATACTGTACATGTAGGTCCAAGTTGTCCCATTTCTTATGGCAAGTTGCCCTCATGTTAACAATACTAAATATTACCACCCTTCCAACCAGTACTGAAAGAGTCGTACCCTTGTTTGTCTCCCTCTTACTCTGACAGGACTACACATAGCCCATGAAATATATGGGACAATAGCATGTTATACATGGTCATGCCATATTTAACTGAGAAAAAGTGGCCTGATCTGTGATGATCTCAGATCTTATGACTCACCTGATCGGGGTGACTTATGCTAACCTGATATAATCCTACTTGAAATTCTCAATGACTTGTTTTGAAATATAGTTTTCAAATCAAATCAAATCAAATGACAGTTTGAGTAACATGATTTGTGCAATAATGAACCAGATATGTACAAATAATTGTGTATACCTATATGTATTACTGATTCTTTAAATGTTTTACTGGGACTTTATCACAGCCATGATGCCACAAAATCACACGAGTCTGCAAGACTGGACATATGCTAGATTAATGAACATTTATCATGAGTAGTTTCAAATTGTGAGAAGAAATTAGCCTTAGACAAAATAGCTACATACTCCACTCTGTGTAAATATCAACACTAAGTTATGTTTTGTATCATTATGCTGATGTGTTTATGTTTCAGTTGTCTCCAGTAAGGGCAAACACCAGTGTAACACATCTAGAAATGGATGAAATCGCTCAGCTAGAACATCTTTCTTTGGTGTCAAAAGTTTGCACAGAATTAGAGAATCATTTAGGACTGAATGACAAGGATCTTGGTATGTCCATATATACACTATACTAATTTGAAATGAAGATTTTTAACAATTCTAAGATCTTACAACTAAGACATGTAAAATAATTATTAAATAATTAAACTGCAGTATTCAGTCTATTTGCATGTTCAGTTGGTTTAGATATTTGACAGAGATGCATTCAATTAGTTTGTGTCAGGTATAACTACAATACTACATGCTTCAAGATAATAATTCCACTATTGCATTATCTTTTATTTTCAGCTGAGTTCATCATTTCTCTGTCTTACAAAAACAACACATTTGAAAGTTTCAAGAAAGTTCTTCTACAAAATGGTGCAGAATTTTCTGTAAGTCTTGAGTATTTTGTAAATAAAGACATAATATATTAAACTTATATGCGATGCATCTATCGTTTATGATTTAAAGTACTATTCTAACAAGTTTCGAAAGGTACATGTAATGTACATAACCTTATTAAGAGTGCCTGTTAAGTATTCCTTATATAAAGTTCATTATAGGTAGTATTCCATCTTTTCAAGAAAAGTAACTGAGAATCCGAATCAAATTTCAAATAGGAGTGACAAGAGAGGACAAAACAATATTGATAATCATCTCCCATTGCTTCTAATCTCAACCCAAATTACTTGTACATTTACTCAGGTTTTGAAATATTTGGTTCTTCCCTCTTTCTCCTAATAATTGAAGGAGGAAATGAAGGACACAGGGGGTGAATCCAAACCTCTTCATAGAAATGAATCCATGCAGAATATGTATTAATATAAAGTTTTATTTCTTGATATTCTAGGATTCCTTCATGGCGAATCTTCTCCGTCTTATACAGAGGATGAGACCAAAAGTGCCACAAAGAGACAACAAAAAGAAGAAGAAAAAGAAAAAGAAAGACAAGGAAAATGAAGACCAAGACATTGAGTTGAAAAAGCAACTATTCCCTGGTCTGGCACTACCTGATAATCCAGCAGTTAGGGTATGAACTAATGGAATACTAAGTAATGGTGTCCAAATATTAATTGATAGTTCCTAGGAGAGGGGATAAATAATTTGAGCTTTTGTGAAGTCATATTAATGGAAATTAATTTCCAAGGTTTTATGCAGAGGAGGTGGTTAAGGTGAATGTTATGATGTATATATTAAAAAAGTGAATTTCAAATTTAATGGTGCAGTCTTTAAAGTAAATAGTAAATACAATATACAATACTGTTGTTTTATTTGAAATGTCTCTTATTATACAGGACATGCTTGATAGTGGTACAAAAGCAGTATCTGATGAAGAAGGTGATGCCAAAGTTGCAGATGACATGATGGATGAACTTGAGAAAATGTTAGCAGTGCCAGGAGTAAAGTGAGTTTAACAAACCCATTTAGAAAAACATATTTGGTATGAATTTAGCATGTAAAATATACCAAATAAGGTCAATATACGCTTTTATGCTATAATATTCAAATCATTGGTCAATGTATGGACAGACTGAGAATTCTATTGAAATGGCATGGTTTCAAATTTTGAACCCTTTTTTGATGGTGGATTCCAATTTCTGCAATAAAGCCAAGAAAGATAACACAAATCAAGATCTTGAATGATTCACTGGATATGATGAATCCCTGCAACCGCATGTTATTATTTGCATGTTCATGAAATGTTATTAGTTACACTGACTCAAACTATGACTATTGTATCTGTAGAGAAGAAAACAGTGAGGAAGAGAGCAAATATAAAAGATCAAAAAGTAGAAGTCGAAGTAGGAGTAGGAGTCGAGAAAGGCATAAAGATAGAAAAAGGTAATTTGGACAGATTATCGTTGATATTTGCCACAGAGTACATTACACAATGTTTCTGTATTACATACTCTTGTACCAAGAGACGAGCATTCAAATTCTCCCATGACTGAATATCTTTAATAAATTTACAGTTTTGGATCTGAAAAGATCTTACTGATCTCAGTGAAATAACTTTGTTGGCATTTTGATTGGATTTTAAATGTGAAATGAATTTCAGTTATAGTCAGGTTTGAATAGGAGATAAGTTCACAGAATATTTCAAAAATATATAGAAGCTATCTTTAGGTGGATTTCAAAACTTCATACCATCCTTTTGAGAACCTGAAGTGGCACCAAGCAATCCATTGACTGTTTCACCAAAAATCCAAGATGGCCGCCACAATGTATCGGCAAATCACTAAAATTGACTAATATCATCATTTAATTTGTCAAAATAGTTAAATACTGTTCAAACATGACTAATAATAGTAACTATTAGATGGTCATATGCATTTAAAGTCACTAGATTATTTTTGTGTGAAAACTGGAGTCCCACAGGGCTCAACTTTATGTCCCCTACTTTTTTAGTCCAATGACTTTCATTGACCATGGCATTTGTACATTGCAATGTATAGAAATCCATTTTTGTAACATGAGCACCTAGGACCACATTTCACCTTGCACCCACACTTGACCAATGCTTGGCATGCCTTAGCTGCTTGAGGAAGGGCTGTACTTAGTGGCATCAGGAGTCATACTGCCAGCCACATGTTGTGAACTCGATAACAATTTTGGTTATGGCACCAAACTATACCGCCTTGGTTAGCAAGTTAAGATTTTCTGCAAGGGCTCCTTTTGTTGGTGGTATTTGTCAATGACTGTATGACCATTACAGAACATTAGCCTTCATGCTGCATTGATATCTATCTGGTTGCTGGTTCGATCATATAATAAAACAGTAAAATGTTCCAGGGACTGAATGGCTTGAACTGACAAAAACAGGTTTGTTGTAACCATTTGTGCCAAATATAGAAAAGCTGGAGTAACTTCCTTGAACACATTCCATAGCTTGAAGGGCAGATTTTTTGCTATGGCCTAAAAGAATAGTGCAGTTATAATATATAATATAATTTAATACCTGTAATTTTTTATTTTGTGAGGTCCGAAGGCTGTCCAGATTGACACCTATTGCATTGCACCCTAATGCAGCAGCCATGGCAAGAAAATGGACATCAGTATCTCCACTTCTGATGATGAAGTATTTTTACCCTCTGAGGTCATCTGTTTTATTTGAACAAAGAGCCTAGTGTCAGCTTTTTCATGAGTACAAGGTTCAATCATTGCTGTATCTGGCAATTGAGGAAAGCACTGAAGAGATTCCCAAATAGTAGCTATCATTTGCTTTTCATTAACATCAACCTCAGACATAAAGTTGGCCAGGAATGCAAACAGCCTAGTCTGGTTCCATTGGTTGTTAGAAAGGCTGGCCAATTCTTTGGCATTTGTGGATCTTTGCATAAATCATCCTTCTAGCACTAGTGCCACGATAAATCCTTGTTAGGGACTTCTCACTGTTTTGTATGTAAACATTCCAGACAACATCTAATCTTGGAACACCTTCCATAAGCTGCCTTAACTTGGGATGAGACACCAGAAAGGAGCAGTCTATTAAAACTGCATCTGCAGTTCGCTTTTCCAATACTTTGGGTCCATCTGGCTTAGTTTCTAGGCATTTAAGTAGGTCATTTAGTTGTAGGTCTCATGGCTCCATGCTTAGCTAGGAATGGCGGGAACTCATGGTTTTCATGTTTGAAAAACTCAGACATGTTATGTGTCTTGATTGTCAAAGGCAAATATAGAGCATAGCAAAAAGGTAATTTTCTTCTCTCAGTTCCTTGACCTCAGGAATCACTGCAGATGATGCTTTGTTTTTTTCTCCCTAGATCACACCAACCATGCATGCAAGTGAATCCTTAAGTCAAGGATCTGAGACATGATTATGACCTTTTTGCTATTACTCTACATTGCATGCCAATCAAGACACAATGACATGTCTGAGTTTTTAAAATATGAAAACCATGAGTTCCCACCATCCCTTCATAACCACGGAGCCATGAGACCTACAACAAAAGCAGACTTACTTAAATGTCAAGAAGCTAAGCCAGATGGATCTGAAGTATTGGAAAAGCCACCTGCAGATGCAATTTTAATAGATGGCATCCTTCTGGTCCATGTGATGCATCCTGGTGTGGCAACCAACTTCCAAGAATATGGTACCAATGTCTCATCCCAAGTTAAGGCGGCCTATGGAAGGTGTTTCAAGATAAGATGTTATCTGGGATGTCTACCTATAAAACAGTAGGAAGTCCCTGACAAGGACTCATTGTGGCAATGGGTGGTTTATGCAGAGAATGTGATGCCCCAGAATTGGTTAGCCTTTCTAAGAAACAACCAGAACAAAACTGAACTGTTAGCATTCCTGGCCAACTCTATTTTTGAGGTTGATGTTTATGACTATTGTGGAATCTGTTGAAGTGCTTTTCTCAGTTGCCAGTTACAGTAATGATTGAACCTTGTACTCATGAAGAAGCTGATACTACACTAGACTCTTTGTTCAGGTAAAACAGATGACCTCAGAGGGTAAAAAAGACATTCATAATCAGAATCAGCGGAGATAATGGTGTAGCTGTTCTTGCAATGGCTGCCGCATAAGGGTGCAATAAGTGTCAATTTGGATTGCCTTCTGACCTCTCAAAAATACAGGTATTAAATTATATTATATAACTGCACCATTCTTTGACCAATAGCAAAGAATCTGCCCTTCAAGCTATGGAATGTGTTCAAGGAAGTTACTTCAGCGTTTCTACAAGTAGCACAAATGGTTACAACAAACCTGACTTTGTCAGTTCATGCCATTCAGTCCCTAAAACGTTTTACTGTTCTAGTATATGATCGAACCAGCAACCAGATAGATATCAATGCAGCACGAAGGCAAATATTCTGTGATGGCCATACAGTCATTGATAGAATGCCACCAACAAAAGGAGCCCTTGCACAGAAAATTTTAAGAACTTGCTAACCAAGGTCGTATTGTTTGAGGCCAACTGTACAATCTCAATCCAACATGGGTATCGGAGTTCACAACATGGGGCTGGCAGTATGACATGTCCCTCCTGGTGCCACTATATACAGGGTGTCCCGAAAGTATGGGGCCCCCCCTAGGCAGACATATTCCAGTGTCCTTATAGTATGTGTCATATATCATTTTAAAGCTTGTCCAAAGTTACATTGATTTCCCAAGTATCATGGTTTAACTCCCAAATGGGAAAAAGTTACAGTCATTTTAAAAGTTAGTGTTTTGTCAAAATAAAGTTCAATTTTACACCACATTACTAGTCAATGTGTCCCCCCTTGGCCATGTTAAGAGCGGCAATTATTTTCAGATATGACCTTTAAAGCCCTTCAAATAGGAGTGTGGAATTTTATAACCCTCTTAAAACCTGTTAAGGGACTTTAGAAGAGTTTCCTTGGAGTTTCTACCCTCACCATTCTCTTTTTCCAACTCAATATCCATCCGACCCGAAAAGAATTGCTGCTGTTAAGATGGCCCGGAAGATCACATTGACCAGTGATTTGGGGTAAAATATAACTTAATTTTGACCAAACACTAAATTTTGAAATGCCTATAATTTTTTCACATTTGAGAGTTGAACCATGATACTTGGTGAATCAATGTAACTTTGGATAAGCTTTAAAATGAAATATGACACTTTCTATGACGACACTGGTATATGTCTGCCTAGGGGGGGCCCCATACTTTCGGGACACCCTGTACATCCCTTCCTCAAGCAGCATGCGAAGCATTGGTCAAGTGTGGGTGCAAAGTGAAATGTGGTCCTAGGTGCACATGTTACAAAAATGGATTTCTATGCATTGCTATGTGCAAATGCCATGGTCAATGCAAAAATAGTAGCGGACATAAAATTGAGCCTTGTGGGACTCCAGTTTTCACACAAAAATGATCCAATGACTTTAAATGGATATGAACTTCTTATAGGTACTATTATTAGTCATGTCTGATCAGTATACAACTATTTTGAATCATTAAATCATAACTTTAGTCATTTTTTATAATTTTTTGATACATCGCGGCGGCCATCTTGGATTTTCGGTGAAAAAGTCAATGGATCGCTTGGTGCCACTTCAGGTTTTCAAAACAATGGTATGAAGTTTTGAAATCAACCTTAAAATTGCTTCTATATATTTTTGAAATATTTTCACCTAAATATTCCTGACTATTATGGATAGGTAGATGACAAATAGCGATTTACTCATAAAATGATTTTGTATATTTTATTTCTGTATCACACATATGCTGAGGATGGTACATGTAATAACCTTAAACCAACAAAGCTACAAAGGGTAATGTTGTAGGCATTTACCATTGAACTTTGAACTATAAGGGTTATATCATCCTAGAGTGCTTTTTTTCAATTATTTTTATATTAGCTTATAAAAAATTAAATTTCAAAATTTTTTCAATTTTTTCTTTAAAGCCCCCGATAAATCGGGCTACGTATACCGCCGTGTTTAGATTAGGGGATTAGAAGAGTTTATTTTTTACTTAGGTATGCAAGCAATATCAATATGAGGCCTTCATGCATGTACTCGTGTGTACAATCAGCATGCCCTTCAATATTATATAAGCCAGGCTATTCAAGTACAACATAATGTACACTATTTATGTGTGTACTACATGGGAATACAATTCCCTGGGAAACAAAACACAAATACTTTTTATATGTTCAAAATGAGCCATTTGATTGATGCATACACTTAATACCTTCATATATAAACATCTACAAAGTATATCTAATAGTCATTTTCAATTCCAATGGTGAAACTTGCCTGGTTACCATTATACGGGAAATCAACACGGGACAATAGTTGTACACCTTCCTGACTTACCTCTGAAGCCTGTACCCTGTAATCTCTTTATATAGGTTAGCGAGAGCGCTGCGCCTGCGCAGTTTTAAATTCTGGCGCACACTTTAAACAAATATTTTGTCTTGAACATAGAATAATATCAAAATGCAAATGTCTGGTCATCTAACAAATTCACTTAACTTTTGTAGAAGAGACAGATCTCGGGACAGAAGGAAAAATAGACGTAGGTCACGATCACGTTCAAGAGATCGAAAAAGGTCAAGGTCACGCTCAAGAGATCGAAAAAGGTCAAGAAGGTCACGGTCTAGATCATATGAGAGACGAGACAAACATAGGTCAAGATCAAGAGAAAGATATAGGAGAGGAAGATCGCGAAGTTATAGTCCAGATAGAGACAGAGGGGACAGAAGAGGGAGCAAACGTGAAAAGAAAGTTGAACTTCCACTTGAACCAGTGGTTGGACAGGTATGTAAGGGCCAGGTCACCAATTCAGTGTTTGTCCCAAAATGTAATAAATAATCGCATTTCAGATCGGCCCCTTCTTTCTTACAACCCCCTCCCTTAATAATTTCCAAAAAACCTGTTAACTGAATATCTATGTGTTTTGTGATTTGTAGCTAAGATGTCACTAAATGAATCATGTTTCTCTTTCAGATTTATGATGGTAAAATTTCAAATCTTATGCAGTTTGGATGCTTTGTGCAGTTATTTGGGTTGAAGAAGAAATGGGAAGGTCTGGTACATATATCACAAGTAAGTCATTATATACCACAATCATTTCATATAATGTCACCACTACACATGGTGACATATTGTTATAGTCTCCACGTTTTTTGTGGACAATGTTTGGCATTTGGTTATTGGCATACGGTAACTGGTGTTTGGCAGTTGGTGTCTGTAACAAATGGCAACTGGTGAAAATTTTGCATGGTAATGGCTTGTTTTTACAATTATTACAATTTTATATCTACTGGTAGCTGACCTGCCAGAATTAAAGAGAGATTCTATGGTTTTCATTAACTTTTCTAATAATTTCTTGCATGAATAGAATACAAATATATATGTTTTTGTTGTTCTGCATCCATGTAGATATCATATTTTATTTTCAGTTGCGTCGAGAAGGACGTGTGAATTTAGTTAGTGATGTTGTCTCCAGAGGGCAGGAGGTGAAGGTCAAGGTTCTCAACCACACGGGGACTCGGACCAGTCTCTCAATGAAGGTAATTCATCATGAGTATCTGCTCTCATTATTATTACCCATAAGTAAATGCTGTAATTAGGTTCAATGGTAATTAAAATGTCAAATTTACATGTGTTTTAATGGAGGCGCACCCAGATAAATTGATCGATTTGTGTGCTGAGTAAGGTTACATTAAAAAATTGATTATTGCTAAGTACTTCTAGCTTATAGTATATTACCCTAAAATTGCATTAATATGATTAAAAACATGCAATATTTTTTAATGTCTTCAGGATGTTGACCAATCAACAGGTGAAGATCTCAATCCGACTCAAACACGTCAACTCGGGGGTGAATCAAAACCCGAAGACTTACGTAATCCTGATCGTCCCAGCACAATGCCACTTGTAGTGAATGCCCCTGAGGTAAATGACATTATGGACAAGAAACGTATGAGGATTCCATCCCCGGAACGCTGGGAGTTGAAGCAGATGATAGCAGCAGGAGTTGTGGATAAGTCTGAACTACCAGATTTTGATGATGAAACAGGATTATTGGCTAAAGATGATGAGAATTCTGGTGTGTAGGATTTGACGAAATCGTCTCATTCAAAAATGTTTACTAATTTTCCAGCAAATCTATGTAGATAAGTACATGTATAAACAAATTGGCTTCTAAAAATTCAAGCTCTAATCTGAAGAATAAGAAGATATACTTATTGAACACCCTGTGTATTTTGTGTTCTATTAAGATATGGACATTATTTATTGAACACCCTGTAATATGTGTGTTTACCTTATGTTTAGATGAAGATATAGAGGTTGAGCTTGTTGAAGAAGAGCCTGCCTTCCTGAAGGGCTATGGTAGACAGAGTGTCTTAGATATGAGCCCAGTGAAGATTGTCAAGGTATTTTACTTTATACGCTATTACCGCAAAGAAATATTTCAAATTGTTTTTGAGTTACACACAGTAGATGTCATTTCTAAATCATGCATATTTACATTGAACAAAGAAAATGCTAGACATTCTAAAAAATATTATAACGTTACAGCGTTAAAGATTTTCTCGAGTCATCTAATATCACTATATATGAACAAATGAATGCACTTATTAGACATTATTTTCATGTTATAAGAAATCTTGTTCTTAAGATTATAACTCAGGTTATATGTAAAACATATTGTTTCCAAGTCTTGCATCATGTTCTTGTAAATTCCTCCCTCTATGCCATACATAAATATGCCTTCTGCTGGTGGACAAGAATCGATGCAAGACTATTTCCCTCATTTCTCTACAGAATCCTGATGGCTCACTCTCACAAGCTGCCATGATGCAGAGTGCCCTTCAGAAGGAGAGAAGGGAACTGAAGCAATCAGCACGTGAAGCTGAAGCCAACTCTCAGCCGTCCACTCAAGGCAGATCTTGGAATGATCCAGTCCCAGAAAGTAAGTGCATTTAAGAATGTTTTTGTTTGACTTTATAAAAGAATTGTTTCAACTATAGTTTTGCTTATCTGTAAAATATCAAAATGAAGGTATATTCTGAATGTGTTTTTGTGAAATCTATCAAACTACATAATCCAACAAATGATATGGGCTTTTTCTAGTGGTTTTGGCTGATTGAGTGTAACCTATCCATAAGAAATGTGAATAAATACCAAATTAACATTGTACATGTATTGTGTTATACATCAATTAATTTTTGGCTCAATGATTAACATGGGTCATTTGGAGTGGCACCCCGGTCTAATACATTTTAAAAAAGTACATCTATTACAGATGACAGTAGTTCCCAGAGCAGGGGACCAGGAGGGGCACCTGTGGACATGCCAGAGTGGAAGAAACATATCACTGGGGGTCATAAAGCTTCCTATGGTAAAAAAGAGAACAAGTCAATCCTGGAGCAGAGACAGAGCCTTCCTATTTATAAACTAAAGGATGAACTCATCAAGGTAAGTTGTCTAAATTAGTAAATATAGGGTGAGCAAATACACCAATCAATATTTTATTTTTACACAATGCTAGTTTTGTTTAGGTAAGAAGGAAAACATTTGTTAAATGAAAATACATTGAAATGACATTCATGCAAATTGTAAGAGGGTTAATAATTTTTTACATATTTTCAGGCTATCCATGACAACAAGATTTTGATTGTAATTGGTGAAACTGGCTCTGGAAAGACTACTCAGATAACCCAGTACCTGGCAGAGGCAGGTTACCTTACTGTGGGCAAGATAGGCTGCACCCAACCACGTCGTGTTGCTGCTATGTCTGTCGCTAAGAGAGTATCCGAGGAGTATGGGTGTCGACTTGGTCAAGAGGTAATACTTTTAATGGATTTCATTTCTGTATTTTGTCTTGAGAAATAACCTTTCACATATTCTTTTATGTATGAAACACAGTAAAATTCTATTTTTAATACGGCATCTTCAGAAATAGACCGTATATGTTATGTTCAATTCAATTTGCTTGAAATTGGGTCAATCCAATCCAGGCAAACCTCCTGTATTGCTATGTACATGTAATCCTCATTGCTCTTAGTTGGTCTTGCACATCTGACATCCTATATAATTGTATTATAGGTTGGTTACACTATAAGATTTGAAGATTGTACCACACCTGAGACAAAAATAAAGTACATGACAGAGGGTATGTTACTAAGAGAATGTCTAATAGATGGCGACCTAAAGCAGTACTCAATCATTATGTTGGACGAGGCTCACGAGAGAACTGTTAGTACTGATGTATTATTTGGACTGCTTAAGAAGGTGAGAAATATCATTTTAGAACCATGGTGGTGTTTATATACTGTAGATGTTGCGTACATAGTAGGATATCTACGTGTCATGTACATCAAGTCGTGCACATTGTACTGTTGATGGCATTTAGAGTATGCATTGTGTATATACCAGTGATCTCCCTAGGATTTTTTCTCAGGCTGGTGCAAAATTCTCATTTTCACAATCCAGACCAAAATTTGTCAAAATATTCCAATTTTTGATGATTTTTCTCATTTTCAAGTGGGTGCAAATGGATTTCGGGTGGATGTAAGCCTATTTTCAAAATCTCAGGTGGGTGCTACGCCCACTTGCTTTAATGCCGGGGAGATCACTGTATACTGTTATTGTATATTGCCCTGTATAATACTGTTTTACCCACTGTTCTGTTGATCATATGTAATAAAAATCATACTGAAACTGAAACACCATCCCATCCTTTACATTGTCTTTCACCATTGTAGGAAATGAAGTAAAACAGATAAAAATAAATAATCAATTTTTATGATTTTATTAGCAAGAATTAAAATGGAATATGGCTAAGACATTTGATCATGGACCAAGACTCCATGCATAGTTGTGGCAAAAGTAATGTGTAAGCAAAACTCATTCAATTAAGCAGATCAATATCAATAAGATAATGTTAGTCTACTATAGTGTCTAATGTATGTTATGATGTGATATTCATCTAGATCTATAAAATTGTGAGCAGAGTCCTGTGATTATGTTTCGATGGTGCTGCCATCTGTCTTCTAGATCTTTAATATTGTGAGTCTTTGTGATTATGTTTCAATAGTGCTGCCATCTTTCTCATGAATATATTTATTATCCTGGGTTGATTCCATCATGACTATGTCATTGTTGTCCCCCTGCTCTTCCTCTACCCATCCTGGCTTGCCCTTCAGACCCTGAAAACATACAACATGGCTTAATGATCAGATTGAACTGAATTCAGTAAAAGTTGGAGGTATTGACAATCTTTCACATTGTTGTTTGATTTTAACCAATTTTACCCATTTAGGTTTCTTAAAATAGATGTGCGTATGAACAGTTTAGTGTACAATGTAAAGTTTCTTACCAGCCATTGTAGTGGTGCACTAGTGAGTGCCACTTGACCAAGGATTCCAACCATCTTCTTTAAGTACTCAAGTTCGGCTCTTACTTGCTCCATAGCCTGGCTTGGCATCTTGTGTAGAGCCTTACCCTGAATAAAGGAATGTATTATTAGAAATATTAACAATGATATGGGCATATGGATTAATCTATGATACAATTTTATTCGGGAAAATAAAAAATGTTTTTCTGGTAATCCTGATAATAATTTTTTTTAATCAAAAATGTTAATATATCAGGTTTCCCAGAAAATCATTTTTTATTTCCTTATTTTTTCAAAACATTCTATGTTCAGATATTCAATTTGATTAAAAATATCTGTATTATTTGTTCATTTTATTGTTGTATCATTCAAACCACTTAGTGTACTAAACACTTCACTAGAACTTACATTAGTGAGAGATGTAAAGAGAGATTCAGAGACCCCTTGAGCATTGTTGATCTTCTCCTGGATGGACTCTGGTAACAGTTTATACGATTCCTGTGTCATGTTCAGACCTCTTCTCAACTGCATAGCAAGACTCCGCGCTAGTAGAATTCCCCTTCGTTCCATTGTCTGAAAATACATGAGAGAGATTGGTCCTTTTATTTATCATAATGCATTAATGTCTGCTTTTCATGTCATTTTTGTCATGTTTTTCTCTATTTCTTGTGTTTGTAAAGAACACAAAATTCTAGTTACCATTTTAGGCTCCACAATATATGTCTCCACATCATCATCTTGCATTGCCTCCGTACTCTTATCCACAACACCCTCTGTCTGCTCACTGGTCATCTCCTGTTCACTCATGGTCTCTTCCACCTTAGAGATCTCCTCCCAATAGTATGCTGCCTTGTCTTTTGCACTGTCAAGGTTTGTCTGGGCATACTGGATCTGAAATGAATTTTTTCTGATGAATTTTCATAGTACAAAAGAAATCTACTTGCCAGTGACTGAATGTTATAGCAACATTTCATTGTTGTTCAGCATCTGTACCAAATGTAACAAATGGCAGGTGGTGCCATTTTCCACGTTAATGTCTTTTTTTTTTTTTTTTTTAAATTTTATGAAAGTGAAAAATATAATAAGCTATTTGTTTCTCAGCTTTCATTTCTGAACATTAATGCATGATAATCCCATATGTTGATGCTAGCATATATATTGCACAAGCCCATAGCCAGGATTAGTCAAGGGGTTTCACTTTTTTATTAAAAATTCTAGGGGGATTCACTTTTGACAACTTTGGCCCAACATGGCCCAAATCACTTGAAAAGTGCTCAGAATGGTGAAAAACTGCATGAATTTTTGGCCAGGGGAGGGGGGACACCCCAAACCCCCTACTGGCCTGTTGCATTAATCAACATGAAAGAAAATTATGAAATAGTCCAGGATATGTGCAGAGAGGCTAGGCAAGGTTTTGTAAATGCTTATTAAGATGATTTACCAGATCTACTGTGAAGTTGAGTCTGTTGAGAGTCTCTTTGCTCCTTGTTTGAAGGTTCACCAGATCTGACATTGCTTTGCTGAACATTCGTTGACGTACTTTCCCTGTCAGCGATGCTGCTCTTGTGAGCTGATTGGATGTCTGCTTTGATGGTACCACTTCCATTTTGCATGTCTCATTATTATCTACAAATAAGACATTGTTTAAATATGTGCCTGGAGAAAATTGATGTCCTTATCACTTGACCTGAATTAATGAATAGTCAAATAAGTACTTGTACTTATTACTGGAACAGTACTTGTTCTAACTATACTATCCATATTCTTTCCAAAGGAAGAACTTACCATCTATCTTTGATTCAGGCAGGTATTTCTCAACATAGGTTTCTGCTGTTTCCAAAAATGAATCAACCCCTGTAAGGACTGTTTTCCCATAGGGAGTGTTGAGAGCATCCGTCACCTTCTTTGTCGTATACGCTGTCACATCTGTCATTGTCTCACTACTGTACTGCTTTGTGCCCTGTATAGCCTCATTTGTCAGTTGTTTGATTTCCTTCACTTTCTGGTTGCTGTATTCTTTGACATCTTGCATTTTCTCAGTGCTGTAGCCTGTTAGGTTTTGAACCTATGTGAATAGAGTATATTCATGAACATTCATGAACATGTGCAGCTCAATACCTCTTCAAAGTTATTGTGTACCCAGTGACAAATCATAATAAATCTAGGTTTTTGTCCACTTTTAGACATTTTTTGAGTAACACAGAGAAGTTTAATTCATTTCCCCCAGAAAAATTGAGAATTCTAAAGGAATTTTTGATATCTTTGTTTCATAATTAAGAAATGCACAGAGGTACATATTCTAGTTACTCTTTGGAAGATGGTCCAGAACAGAATAATTTGGCCTTATCCAGAATTACCCAATTTTAAATATTTTCAAAGTTTTTTTAAATGATGTACCTTTTCCACACTGTAAGTGACAGGTGCAGCTACATAGTCCACTGTTGGTTTAAGTGTACTGTCATAGATCTGCTTTGTATTGCTCAGTACCTCATCTGTTGGAGCCTTTACAACTGGGAATGTCTTCTCCAGTCTTTCTAATGAATTCACTCCTATAGAGTTCAGTTTGCTTACTGAAAAGGAAAGATTGGGTTCATAACTTGAGGATGTATTATGTTGTACTGAAGTTTGACAGTTGTTACACGAAAAGTTAACAAACAGTACATTGTGCATACAGGTTCTAATGTACAGGGTGGGCCAAATGTTACCCATTATTAAATCAAAATGGGTGACACTTTTTAGCCTACCCTGTATTTCACATTAAATGATATATTATAAAGAAGGGAGTGATGTACTACTTCAATCATTTATAATGTACAGGGTGGGCCAAAATGTTGCCTATCATTAAATCAGAATGGGTGACACTTTTAGCATACCCTGTATCTAAAATGATATATTATAAAGAAAGGAGTGATGGTGTCATACTTCAATTATTTATGATGCAAAAATCAATATAATGCGGGACCATAAAGGCCATTAGAAAAACATAAACATTAAAGGTAATATAAAGCTATGAACCCAAATGAAATAACAACTTACCCTGGGGCTGTAGTTTGTCTACAATGGGTGCAGTATGTTGTGCCACCCCCTTAACTCCATTCTCAGCCATTTCTAGCGTTGATTTCACCAGGTTGTTGCTGTTCTTTGTCGCCTCATACGCATTAGTCAGCTGGCCCAGGGCAGAGCTCACCATTGGGTATGTCGACATGCGAGTTAAAAACTGTTCATCTGACATCTTTTGTTCTGAGTGTTTTCTTCTTGTGAAATCTGAAAATAATTCCCAATGGCATGTGAAAAAGATTGAACTTCTCATTGAAGAACATGTATTTTAGCATGTATATTTTACATGGAATTGTGATATTTTTGATAAATCCATTGTTGTTGTTGTTGTTGTTTATCTTTATTTCCTTCTCGAAGAAGAGCTTTTTTTAGAAATGATTATACAAGCAGTTATTTACAAACAATTATTTACAAAACAAATATATTTACATTAGTAATTTGACTATGTTTTGACTAGTATTCATATTAACATTACATTGTTTTACAGTATTAATTATCAAATTGTTGACGATTCAATATGATATCTTATTAACCTTTCTAATCCCAGTGCTTTTGTAAGAATATATAAACAATTTTGTCGGTAATTAAATGTTGAACTTTTAATATGTTTCATTCCCAAAACAACAAGACAAAATAAGAGCCATAAGACATTATTTTACCATCTAATGTTAGAGAACTTACTATGATTATATCCTTGTGTTCTTTGTTCAGTAGAACTTTGCAATTGATTCACGCTATCAAAAATTCCCTAGTTTTATCAGGCAGCTATGATTCACATGTTATTACTTCATTGTGAGATTTTCTTCAATCTGATTGGTGCGAGTATTTTTAATTGTGGACTTTGAATATGGGAATATTCTAGATGCTTGAACTTTGAATGCCAACTTTGAATGCCAGTTTAGAAATAATGTACATGAACCTTTCAACTGGAGACGTATTTCTGAGTTCAAACTCCAATGTCTAAAGGTTACCATAGTCAGCTGAAAGAAGGCTGTTAAATGTAGCTTTCATATGACTATGAGTCACAATTTCATACACAGGAACACCATTGATTCTATTTACAGCTTACTTTATACAAGTCATGGTGTTCTTTGTAAAACAATCCTAGAATAAATATATGTTTATAATAGTAAAGAGTCAGCTTAACCTATTACTGTAATAAAAAACATGTTTAGTGTTTTCTTGTACTTAGTTATTTCTTGTTCCTAAAATTTCATTCTTACCACTTTGTTTTGACATATATTTAGTATTTTGACACGCTCATATTTGGATACTTCATTCTAATTTTTCATCATTATGCTACCCGGACAAGTGGTGACAAATTGTTATTGTCTCCAACTTTTTGTGTTGGCACCTGGCATTGGGTGTTTGGAGTTCAGAGTTTGAAGTAAATGGCAGGTGGAGACATTTTGCATGTTAAAGCCTCGTATTTACATGTAGTGTCCTGACATCAATTTCTTACCCTTATGCTCTACTCTTATTTATTCTTTCTTTCCTTTGTTCTATTCCTTTGTTCTGGTATTTGATACCAAATTATAATATGACTGTTTCATAAAAAAAGATTTCCCTTTGATTAATGTGGGGCAAATTCCCTTGTTGTTCTACCTAGTCCCACTCGATCCCATGTAATGTTAACGCATTGGTTTGCATTGGTGTTCATAACATATCGATGTAAAGGTAATGGCACTAGTTTTGCTTCAAGTCTCATTCTCTCCCACCTCCCCTCTCCCACCTCCCCTCCTCTCTCGTATCTTCACCCTGCATTGGTAAGAGGATTGGTCAAGGAAGAAAAGATTGCTGTTCTAGTAATGTCACCACCACAAATAGGGACATATTCTGACAGTCTCTAGCTTTTCTATGGACAGTGTTTGGTGTCTGTTACAAATGGTGTCTTAAACAAATGGTGTCTGTAACAAATGGCAGGTGGTGACATTTTGCATGTTAATGCCTTGTCATAATGTCGTATACATATACTAGTATTATATTGAACCTGTAAGATAATGTTGACCATAATGACCTTTCCTCCATTACACCTGATGCATTAATGCATTAATCTATATATTTCCAGACAATACTGAAGAGAGATGATATGAAGCTTATTGTCACATCTGCAACATTAGATGCTGTTAAATTCTCACAATATTTCTTTGAATCTGTAAGTAGCTTTTAGATGTTTTATATGTCTTTCGAAGTCTTAATGTTATAAATATACTGCATTCTTTGGTTTTAGATATGTGAGAATTTTAGGACAGAATACCATATAAGAGTAGTATGTAGTTTTCATCTCAGCCTGCATATGAATTTCAGACATGTTTCAGCTTAAATTCAACTAAGTTTGTCTGCCTATATTTTTCATGTATTCACTCATATTTTTCAACCCAAATTAACTGATATGTTTGCCTACATTCACACATATTTGAGTTTGAATTCACTAATATTTCAGCCTATATTCACGATTCCTGGTAGAACATTTCCAGTAGAGGTGCTGTATACCAAGGAGGCTGAGACTGACTACCTTGATGCTTCAATGATCACAGTTATGCAGATACACCTTACTGAACCTCCAGGTGAGCAACAGTTTTTTCATGATACATATTTCACATGAGAGACCTCTCTACCCCGAGAAACTCCTACTCCAGTTGAACAACAGTGCTTTCATGGTGATAAGACTGTTACCTCTCTGAAAAGAATATAATTTAAGAAAACATCAGCAGATACCTAGGTCTTTGGTAGTAAATATATTCAAATGTGAGCTTGTCAATGACAGTAACATGAAATCATGGTTTATGTTCCAGGAGACATCCTGTTGTTTTTAACTGGTCAGGAGGAGATTGACACATCCTGTGAGATCCTGTATGAGCGTATGAAGGCCATGGGTCCTGATGTTCCCGAGCTGATCATCCTTCCTGTTTACAGTGCACTTCCTAGTGAGATGCAGACCAGGATCTTTGACCCAGCACCTCCTGGATCAAGAAAGGTGAGCTAGATAAGTCAAAGTATAATAATCATAACACTATTTTCCATAGTCCCTTATACAAGGCAGAATATCCATTAGGATTCAGCAGGCTTGTAACTGAGCTGACTTAGGACATCTGGACAGTCTTCCAAGTTTGTATGTAGTACTGATAGGGAAATATTTTTGGCCTAATGTTGGCTTTCATCTGTACATTGCATGTGTAATTTTATACTGTGATGCCAAAAAAAGTATACATGTTTGCAATACTGTGATTGACAATGTGGAATATATTTGCAAATTAATTTTGCTTTCAGGTTGTGATAGCCACAAATATTGCCGAAACATCACTGACAATTGATGGGATCTTCTATGTAGTCGACCCAGGCTTTGTGAAGCAGAAGGTGTACAATTCTAAGACTGGTATGGACCAGCTCATAGTGACACCTATATCACAGGTAAATATAGCAACATTTTACACAAAATGACCCGATCCACCTCTTTTGATCAAAAATAATTGAACTTAATACTTTTAAACAATAAGTCAGTAAAATGAACCATACATGTATATGATTTCAGTTCAAGTTCAAGTTCAGCACATTTGACTCTACTAAATTCAGTCTGAACATTAGAGTAATATTTATTTGGATTGTAATTTAAAGATATCTACACTGTTGTTTCACTCAGGCTCAAGCCAAGCAGAGATCAGGAAGAGCTGGGAGAACTGGGCCAGGAAAATGCTATCGCTTATATACAGAACGTGCCTACAGAGATGAGATGCTCCCTACTGCTGTGCCTGAGATACAGAGAACTAATCTTTCACCAACAGTGTTATCCTTGAAGGCAATGGGTATAAATGATTTGTTGTCTTTTGACTTCATGGATGCCCCTCCTATGCAGACACTTATATCAGCCATGGAGCAGTTACATGCACTCAACTCATTGGATGATGAGGGCTTGTTAACAAGACTAGGCAGGAGGGTATGTTATGACTAAAAATACTTTTCATATACAAATATAGCAACATTGTTTTTATGTCACCACCAGTAGTAGTGACAAATTGTTATAGTCTCAAACTTTTTTCGATGGTTGGTGTCCGTAACAAATGGCAGGTTGTGGCAAATTAATGTCTTTTTTTTAGTATTCTAATAGTCTTTGATTGTTTTTAGACTTCTAAAAGTCTTAAAGAGATGCATGTTTCAAAGACAGATTTGATTTGATAACTAAACTTAATCATTATTCACAAATATGTAATACAGAGTGGTGTTATATAGATAGTTAATGGATTATTTTATGTATGAGTGTTATTTGAATTTCAGACTTCACAAAAACTGTGTTTATTTGCAGATGGCTGAGTTTCCCCTGGACCCCATGTTGTCTAAGATGTTGATTATGTCTGTACAACTGAATTGCAGTGATGAGATTCTAACTATAGTCTCCATGTTGTCTGTACAAAATGTATTTTACAGACCTAAGGTACATTGTTCACTGGTTGTTATATACTGTACATACTCAAATGATAAGGTTGTTGTAAAATGATCTATTGACAAATTTTTAAACAAAATATGTAGTAAATATCTAAGAAAAAGCTTAACTTGAAAATTATTTTAAAAAAATGACATATTTTCCAAGATAACTCACCTGTCTACCAAATTCAACTAAATGGCCTATCTAATTTTGGTATATATGTTCATTGTATAACATGTATTGAATGTACCAATATACCTGAAGATAAAAGGTAGTAGAATATGTTTTGGTTGATAAGTATGCCAATATTAAAGGCTAATGTTTTAGGTAAAAAATTGTTTAATGAGCAGAACTACTGGATTTCTAAACCATTTCTCCTTGTATTTTATTTAGGATAAACAACAACTAGCTGACCAAAAGAAGGCCAAGTTTCACCAAATAGAAGGTGACCATCTAACCCTCCTGGCAGTGTTCAACTCTTGGAAAAACAACAAGTTTTCTAACCCTTGGTGCTATGAAAACTTCGTCCAAATAAGGACGTTAAAACGAGCACAGGACGTCAGGAAACAGCTTCTAGGAATCATGGACAGGTACATGCTTTATCTAAACTTTGAATCAAATTGTTGGATTCCTCTTTATTCCTACAGATGTAAACAAGTACAACCCTCCTTTGTTATGTTGCCACCACAAGGGGTGACCTATTGTTATAGTCTCCAACTTTTTTGTGGATGGTGTCAGCGGTTTAGCGGTTGGTGTCTGTAACAAATAGGAGGTGGTGACATTTTGCATGTTAATGCCTTGTATAGGAAGCTGTCCTTCTGTCCATTTGTTGTTTTGTTTAGTCGTGAATAAGTTGAGAACCTAACATTTGTTGTCTGTGTTTAACCAATCAGGGAATGGGAAACCTGACAATGTTAGGTTTCAAAATTTATACTACAACAGTATTTATAGTTGTGGTAAAATTGAACTAGATAAATATTAAAATAAACTTGGTTAGACAGTAGATAAGGCAATGGCAAGTAGAGGACTTAAATCTGCCAATTTTACATAAAGAATTGATAAGACTAGACCTAGTTACTTTGAAAGAACAAGTAGACCATAACTACATTTGAATTTTTCGTAAGAATATGATAGAAGAAATATTTAATTTGTAGGCATAAGCTCGATGTGGTAAGTTGTGGCAAGAACACTGCTCGTGTACAGAAGACAATACTTAGTGGTTTCTTCAGGAATGCTGCCAAGAAAGACCCTCAGGAAGGGTACAGAACACTGGTAGATTCGCAAGTTGTATACATTCATCCTTCTAGTGCCCTGTTTAATAGGCAACCTGAGTGGTAAGTGAACAACCATGATAGATGATATATTATTTTAAATTGACCATGTGCAGTGTTGATTTTTTGCCCTTAGAGTGAAACCTGAATATGTTTCTAATACATTATTTAATATCCAAGGGAAAATTCTTATTGTTTTGCTATAATTGAAAAAAATTATAATGTTCAATTTGGAGTAGGGGGAAAACCCCAGAGTCCTGAGATGAAGCAATAAGTAACCCTCTGTTTGATAGTCCAGAAATTAACATCACATTATTTAAATCATTTTTATAAAGTTTTGAATCAACCATTATGCCCCTGTTAACTCTTAGGTTATTTGAGCAATTAACGATGAAGGCTATCTCTACATAAAGATCTATTGAAGTCAAGGTTATCTCTGAACTCTGGGGATTTCTCTCCTCTTTGTTCAACTGCATGATCAAGGTCATGGTCAAGGTCAATGTCACATGCAAAGTTAATCCTGTGTAATTTGCAGCTTTGAGTATCCTGGATTTAAAATATGAAATGATTCAAATTCCTAATATGTAACATTGTATAACTTCTTAACATTGATTACTTCTAAATTGCAGGGTTGTGTACCATGAACTTGTCCTCACAACAAAGGAATATATGAGAGAAGTAACAACCATAGACCCTAAATGGCTCGTTGAATTTGCTGGAAAATTCTTCAAATTCTCTGATCCTACAAAACTAAGCAAACATAAGAAACAACAAAAGATTGAACCATTACATAACAAATATGAGGAACCAAATTCCTGGAGAATTTCAAGAGCCTTCAAGAAAGTGCACACGAAAGTCACATTCTAATTGGAGTTTTATATCAGTGTTTTTAGTTTGTATAGAATTGTGGTGTTTCATATGGAACCGTGGAATGTGTTTATTGAGAAGTCAGAAAGAAAAAGAAAATGTGTAAAGTTAATTTCTTCATCGTATACAACGTGAATATTTGCATCAATGAGCAATGATCAGAACATACATGCCTATTGTTTTGAAGAATAATGGTACACAGTGCACACATAAAAACCATGAGCACAGATTTATTTCCCAAAATATTTACATTTATTATAAAAATTAAGGTGCATTTACAAAATCTACATTTATATACAGATATACAAATAATCTGTTGAATTCATAATACATACATTTATATACAAATAATCTATTGAATTCATAATATATACATTAATTATTTTATAGTATTATATAACCAGTATTCTACAATGGAATTTTACTTAGCAGCGCAACACTACATAACACAAGTAAAACACCTCAGCTTCAATGATCTGCAGGAAACATATTGCCATCCTTGATATATCAATTATCGTCCAAATTCCTATGTGCTATATGCAGCCTACTTCGAGATCAGTGTCTATCGAATGTGCATTCATTTTATTAAATAATTTTACGCCATCTTTTTGATAGCACCATTGTCCTCCAGATTGCACATTCCGTTTCATTCAATGTTGTGATCTGGCTAAGATTACTTTTGTTTTTCCAAACCGGTGATAAGATTATCTGAAAAATATGAAGAGTGTAGGTGATTAGAAATTGTCTTATAAGAATTGGCTGTATATTCATTTTCTTTCTCTGCTTCCTCTTTCCCTTCAGAAACCACAGCAGCTAGACTGCACTGTGACTCGGTTAACTTTCAAAATTTTCTTTCAACTAAATCTGGAGGGGTTCTTTTAAAAATTGAACATTGGTTCTCAGTTTTCTTCAAGATCACATGCTTTTTACTGATTCAAAACTTGTTATATTCAGTATCAATTCATACATTTATAATACTGCACATTGTAATGTAATTAAGTAGCATGTTGTGCTATTAAATATTACCTGGTCCCGTTTCCTTGGGTTGGGCAACTTTGTTTCCAGAGACCTCATATTTGTTTGGTTCTCTCGTGTTAACCTCTTCTGGAAGATCATTTTTTGGTGGGTAAGGGTCAGAGGGACTGGCTTGATCGAAACTGTTATATTCATAGGGAGGGTGTTCCCTAGCAAGCGTATTCTCTTCATCAACGATTTTTCTCATTGTTTTATCCACATCGCCCTGATCTGCATTCAATAAAGCCATCCATTGTTATTTGGAATATTGAAACATGTAAGCTAAAAACACCTAAATAGACCATTGAAATGTATTGCAACTCGACAAAAATTAACTGGCGATATTCATTATTGGATCGAGCTGCATTTTATTTGACACATGTTTTATACAGACCTCATGCCATTATAAGAATCTCATTACTTGAGAAAAAATCGAAATTACCTTTATTTGTAAGCATCACATGATCAGCATCAATTTGAACATCGTGGCTCATTGCACCGTCTACACTGTCCCGACCTGCACTAGTAGCACCTTCATCTTCGTTTACCTGATGTGGCTCGTCTCTCATAAGGGGGGTGTCTTCAACAATGGGATTGTCTTGGTTATCGCCTGTTTCATCTCTGGGGATCTGAAAAATAATGATTTATATTTTTACTTAATTTTCACACTTACTTTGTAACTGTCTTTTTATAGACGCAAATAAATAATACACATACACTACATAAGTTAGCCTCCAAGGTTCATATTCTCAAGTACAACACCGCTGTATTATATTTAATCAGGGTTCATCAGCTACCATTATTGGTAAAAGAGCGCGTCGTGTTTTCACAAAGAACTGGATAATGTCATTTTTATACATTACCTCCAAGTGTCCAAATTCAATATCATCATTATCATGTTCATCATGTTCCCAACGAAAGCGTCTCACAAGATTAGTCCGGTATTTGAATCCTACTATAAGTCCGATAATCAGCACAACCAGAGCAATCGCGATTGGTATGAGGAAAATATAGTTAGCAGCTTCAGCGGTTTTGGATCCCCCGTACAAACAGCTGATGAAATCTGGAAAATATACAACATCAAATTGTACACGTTTGTATTATGAGTCTGAAGTTGCTGTCAAGCCTTAGTCATCTTTATTCTACGACAGCCGCTCCACATAATCGATTTAGAAATTCTACATCGTATACTACCTATCCCTATCGGTTTTGGGAAAATATGGCTGCCGTACTCTAGATCAAATGTGACCGGGGCACAAGATGGAGTTGAGATGTTGTTGCAAATTATTATTTTCGACATAATGAGATTCAAATTCTAATGAAGAATTATAAAAAAAATCGTGTTAATTTTTATCTAATTCTAGCTCTAAATATTTAATTACCTGTGCACTGTGTTTTTACATCCCCAATAATTGGATCGTCTCTGCAGACCTCCGTGAACTTAGGATAAGACCGCACACAGACGTCAGAGCAGTATTGTCTGTATATAGTTCCATCCAAGTTTCTTGGGACATGGTAGTTGTACTCAGTACAGGAATCAGCAGACGATATCACTACGTGCGATGCGAAAATTCCGATTGCAATAGTGATCGATGCGTATTTCAGCATTGTTGGTTTTCCAATTGAGAACTGCAGATATAAACGTTTAAATTGAGTAAATTTTAAAATGATTGATCTTATCCAGATGGGGGAAAAAACGCTGTCAGCAAACCAAATATTTTGCATATAACTGCATGATAGAAATATATCATAAAATTGGGGAATCTCCACGCACAGGTAAACTGATCAACATGGAACTCCCAAGATTCATTATGTTTTCATTATGACCATTGGGGAATCCCCACGCAAAGGTAAATTAGATCAACGTAGAATTCCCAATATTCATTTTTTCAGAGTTACAATATTTTTTATGATCATGTTATCGAATTTTACAGGTTGTCCACAAAGTTGACATTTTACATACAGATGCTGTTTAAATTGTAAAGATACTTTAAAGTAAAGAACCCTGTATACCACATACACAATGAGCTGTTCCTAGATCAATGCGTTTCAGATTTTGATATGGGACGCTGGAAATTTTGTAACATGCGAAATACGTCTCCACTGCGATTGTACTACGTTCAGAATAGATGCAGCCTTATGCAAAGTCTTTCTATCATAAAAATTCTGTGTGTTCCCTCGGAAAATATCATATCGACAGTAATATTAATTTTTGGATCATAAGGTTTCGGACGAATGGGATTCAAACTATTGGGATTCGGACCATTGGGATTCGTGGTGATTATCGTACCTAGAGTTTTTTTTATTTCTGTTTGCATATCACAAATTGTTAACTTGTAATTACTTACCCATAAGAATCTATTTTCTGTGTTTATGTCCACACGGTCTTTAACTCTACAAGGACAGATATATGATTCTTCCCTGTCTAGTCTATAATTAATATGTTTTTCGCATATACAGTGTCCACATGCTATCTGTATACCATCTTGTAAGATTTGGCCGCATTCATGGCATCTGTCATTCTTGCAATTAATATTGTCTGAGACGAATTTAGGATTAGGTCGTATTTCACCTTCGCCAGGTAGATTACCATGGTCATCTGCGTGACCTTTTGTCTTATTTGTAATCATTTTCATCTGTCCATTGGCCTGACGGCTCGCATCGTGTACGAGATTTGCGCTCATTTTTGTTGTACTTTTTGTTCTAGTTTGCAGTACTGCTTTGGATTGATGAATACAATGAGAAATGCATCAAACAGATCGTGTGTTCATGCAGCTGGTTGGTTCATGCTTATATAGGTATGACTGCTCATGATGGGAATCCCAGATCGATCGATTCGAATGGCGTGAAGTGAAGAGGGTGATATAATAAATTTTTTCGGGGAATACCCTAACAGTCTGACAAAGAAAAATTTAGTTAATCATTTTTTATGTTTGTTTTCTCAAAGTTCCAGTCATAACTAGACAGAGATGTCCAGAGGTGGATACACCCGTCACGGGAAATGCAAGAGGTAATAAGGGAACAACTCATGAACTCACAACTTCATACGTCATGGTAGGCTTGCAATCCCATCATGGAATTTCATATTATAATCGTATACCCTAGTTTAAAGTTGACCGCACAGGCAAACATACATTCAAATGTGTCTACCTATCTAAAGGCATAGAAGAAACGATTTCGAACGGGAAGCCAATCAAATGTAGTACCGTATAGAATTTGGACAACTAAATGAATACAGGGCCTTCCATTTGTGGCAATGTTACTTATACTGGGTAAGGTTTTGAAGATGTTTTAACATCCCTCAATGATGGTGAATATCTGTAGATCTGTAAAAAAACTCGCTAATTAATCTCATCATTAAATAAGCTAATAATACTGCAGTACTAACTCACACCATCCTTCTAGGGACAGTACTTTGAATGTTTCTATAGTAACTACACAAAATGTATGGGCCCAAAATGTTTTTGGTGCCCTTAAATAAGGGGAAGTGGGCCATGGATCCGCCAGTTAACACCGTTTTTGTTCACTTTAATGCTTAGGCTGGTGGTAAATTATCGACCCTGACGGTTACTGTTATTAAAATGACGATTTATAGGGTTGATGGTGCGAATTAATGATGTTAAATTCAGTGAATTGTAATATACTTTTCATTTACCTTTCACTTGGCAGTAAATCTCTACTAACGAGACTAACAATATGAGTGCAAACCTGGTCGAAGAAGTAAACCGGAGGTCGAAGGGGCATGCAGATGACCATGGGCATCCACTGGGAGCCAGAGGAGAAGTACGACCTGCTCTTCAGTTTGTCCATGAAGTCGATCCCAAAAATGACATTTGTTGTGACTGTGGTGGCGTACTAGAAGAAAGTATGCAGACTGTTTGCGGACATAGAGTGTGTGAAAGACACATAGATGATAAGCTACAAAAAGGAAAAATATACATTTGTCCAGGTGGAGATAAAGATTGTGTTGAAGTGAATAAGGAGAACAAGCACTTATTGGTAAGTATGTAAAATTCGCTTCATTCTCAGTAACTGAGCTTCAGTTTTTCCAGAGCAAAACTTGAAGAACAAACCTAGGATGAAGGAAAAAAATCCGTTTTACGGTTTTTGCTTTAATAAGGCCATTAAATAGATGTCTAACCTTAGTTCAAAATAACAGAAGGAAACAACATGTCTGAATTGAAATTGAAAATAGTGTCAATAATGTAGTCATAATTTTTTTATTTGAAATCATTTTTGGGGAATACCCAGTTGTATTTATACTTACTAAACAGCTGACAAAAGCGGTGTAAATGAAAGCTTTAGTTCCAACTACAAGTACTAAAATACGTTTGTGAATTGTGAAAGCTCAAATGTTCCTGGCTACCCAATTGTTCAGACTCTAGCCCAACTATTCGCCATTTCGAAAATTTGAACCCAATTTTTGAAAAGGTGGACCCATTTTCCCAAATTGAGACCGAATTTTCAAAACTAGTCATTTTCTGAAATCAAGACCAAACGCTAAATGTTATACTGCTTAAGAGTGTTCCATGGGCTTCCTAGTCAACTCGTACCCAAGACAACTCGTGCCCAAGACAACTGGTACCCAAGACAACTGGTACCCAAGACAACTCATACCCAAGATTATTTTCAGTATTATGGGTATAAGTATAAGGGAAAAATTGAGTTTGTATGCTTTCATGTGAATCAAATAAGCCTCAATATTTAGAAAACATTTTTTCTCAATGGATCAGTAAAGCATTTTGATTTAACTTGGATCACCTTTTTTATTAAATAAAAGAAGTGCTTGAAGCGCTTGTTCTCAACATTTTTTGTCAAACATATATATAAATAAATATAATTACAACATTAGATCTGGCACTTGTTCCAAACTCATAAACATACAATATTTTGAAAAATGATTTTGAATATGTGGAGTAAACATATGTCTCTTTACTCGAACATCCAGAATCTGTGACCAATAAATAATAGTCAAAATAAATTGACACTCAGCTCAAAATGTCACAAAATTAAATCAATTTCTTTCAAAGATTCTTCATAAAACTTTTAACTATTCTGAACAGTATGTTACAATTATAATATGTATATCTATTCACATTCCCAGTCCAACGCTTGATTCAAAACAAAATATATACTTGGGTACGACTTGACCAGTTACCTTCCATGGTGAGGGTGCAAAAGTCGGACACTCGGGGATCTGACAACTCCTCAGCGGGTACCCTGTTATATTAGTTTATAAATTGGAAGCCTTTTGTGCACGAGGCAGCCGACATACACATAGATCACGATCATTATAAGTTACAGTTATCTCTGAAAAAAATATAAAATTGAATTGACAATTGAGAATCACAAAAAAGAGTAAGCTCAGAATACTTGGGTCAAGTCAGAATACTTCGACAAAAGTCGAAATACATGTTATTTGTTAGGCTAGAACACTCGGAAATTCACAAAAATGCAAAAGTGCCTCGGTCAAAAGTAATTATAGTTCAAATTGAAGTATGTTCAGCTTAAAACCATTATCCTTTCAGGAAACTCGTCAAGGATCTGCCATCTTTAAGAGGTCCAAAACATAATCACTTAAGGATATTTAAGGTCTGATTTACTACGCAGTGATATATTACCACAATGTATGTATTATGCTTTTTAAATTTTTGTAGACTTTTCCTGATCATTTTTCAAGGAAACACATCTCGACGTTGCTAGTGTATTGCTCAAATAAGGAACAAGGCTGCCCAGAACAAATAGCTTTGAAAGATTTACAGGTAAGAATGGGGTATTTCCTTTAATAATTTGAATAGCCTGACAATATCTGAAACAACATTTCAATGGAAATATTCATGTCTATCATGACCTCGATCAAGTTTTAGATGTATCTAGAATAAACGGGAAATGTTAAAGTATAACATGTACAGTAGGTATCTAAAACCCAGTTATTTATCATTTTCTTTTTCTTTTAGGATCACAATACAAAATGTGACTATACGAGGGTTAAATGTAAAAATGCAGGATGTGATGAGCTTATCTTTGCTAAAAGTATGGAGGAACATATCAAAGACGAGTGTGTCTTCAGAATCGAAATATGTCAAAAATGTAATGAGCCAACACCTCATGCACTTATTAGCGTAAGTAAGCTTAATACTTTGCTTGTTTAGAATCAGCAACAACGCTTATTTAGGCAGCTACTTTTTGCAAGTAGACAGATAATGCCGACATCTGAGACGACAGCAATAATACCATGTTACATATGATTGGTGTATATCTTTCTATTCAAATATTATTCATTTTGTAGGATCATTTATCGAACCATTGTTGTGAAGAATTGATAACGTGTCCTTATAAATGTGGCGTCGAGTTCAAAAGGAAGGATATTGAATCTCATGAGACATCGTGTACTTCTAAACCTAACACTTGTGAATTAAGATCCTTGGGATGTGACTTTAAGGTAAACATTTTAACGATGAAGCTGATTAAACAAAGGAAAAGTTTTTACCAAATTCAGCGTTAGGTGGCTCGAAAAAATGCTTGCGGAAATATTCGAACTCCTCCTGTCAAATCCTCGCTACGCAACTGAACATGTTAACAGGTTAATACCAACTACAAAACTATAAACACAAAAGTAGAACTATTTGAAATTATAGGTATGACAATTTTCAGTTAAGTTTTGTTTTGTTATGAAGATCTAGAGATGGTTAATATTTTGGACACGCTGGATTAAGGCTGTCATTTTCGATTTTTGCATGTAGGGCTCTCGGGCAGATCTCGAAAAACACGAATCTCTTAGTAACAGAGAACATCTAGGATTGTTTGCCATCAAATTAGAGAACCACTCTCTCGAATCAAAGACACTAGAGAAACGTATTGAACAAATGAAAAACGAAAAAGAGATATATGAAAAGGAAATGAAGGACCTGGCTCATAAGATGGGAAAACTAGTAAATCAATACAGCGATATGAATTCTAAAGTACAGAATATTCAGGTGAGTTAATTTTGTGTTGGTAATTTACTTTGGTTTCTCCTTGAATTGCTTCATCACTTTCATTAATAACACGTAATGGTTTTCCAAGGGCTCTAATGTATTAATGGTAATGGTTAAAGTATAACATGTAGAAAATGGTAGAAATGGAGTGTAATGCTTAGATGTAAATTTTTTTGTAACGTTAACAACTCTTGTTATTTTTACATTTAGAAAGCAATGGCAAATCATTGTGAAAAGGTTATATCATTGGAGGATAAATATACATCATTTAAGTCTGAAACTGAATCACTTCGGGTGGACTCTATGACCAATATGGAACAAAGACTACTAGTTTTAGAGAACAAAGACGAAAGGAGACCTCACTCGCCTGGTAGGGAAGGAAGAGCCTCTAAAGATGTCGTAGGTAAATATTCGTGCCACATCTTTTACAATTCCAATTTTGTTGGAAAAGGTTAATAATTTATATTCTTGGTCACAAACAAAACAAGTGATTAATACATACAAAGGATGTCTCAAAGAAATGTACCCAAAAGTATATCAACACCATAGATAAACCAATCAATATTTTCAGACATTTTTGCATGGTCTTGTAGATAAAAGATGAACGTTTTTTACCCTATACACAGTTTAAACACACACATTAAAACACTCCTTCAAATAGCCATAGAGAAAGATGTTTGAGGATGATGTACAAAATATTGATTGGTTTATCTGTGCTTTTGATATACTTTTGGGTACATTTTTTGAGACACCCTGTATAACAAGTACATTTATAGAAAAGGAATTGTCACAGAATATTATTATGTTATTTCAACTCTAGATAACTTGAAAACGCAAACAAGACAATTGGACAGAATGGTGGGCCTCCATGATGTACGTCTAGCGGAAGTTGATCTCAGATTGGACTGCAATGATATTACATCATATGATGGACACATAATTTGGAAGATAACAGGAATTGAACAGAGGAAACGCGATGCTGTAAGCAGAAAAACTCTATCTTTGTACAGTCCTCCGTTCTACACCAGCAAATATGGGTACAAAATGTGTGGTCGCGTCTACCTAAATGGCGACGGAATAGGAAAAGGGACGCATGTCTCCCTATTCTTTGTTTTAATGAAGGGGGAATATGACAATGTACTCGAGTTCCCATTCCGTCAGAAGGTCTCATTTATGATTCTTGATCAGTCATCCGAGAGGCGTCATCTCCAGGATTCCTTCTACCCAGACCCCACTAGTTCGTCATTCAAGCAACCAACCGCCAATATGAATGTTGCCTCGGGATGTCCATTATTCGTGAGACAAGATGTCCTAGAGAACCAAGGATATTTGAAAGATGATTGCATTTATATCAAAGTGTCTGCAGATATTAATGACCCACCTCTCGTCCCTTTATAATTTTGATAACGTTTCCTGTAATTTCGAACAATTATAAAAAGTGAGACTATCAGGTGCCTGAATAAATTATTTAGGTAGCATGAACTATACACTGAAGTCTATGATCGATGTATAAAAAATGATTATCTTTTTAAAAAATACTTACGTTGAAATATATTAACAAAAACGTATTTCTTCCCCGATTTAATATATGATATTCGGCTTATTTAGCAGTCTTGGGAAATACATAGAGATTATCCTATATGAGGTTCAGGATATTGGGATTATGCCGAGGCAAATATAATATATTTGCCCGAGGGCCGCAGGTCCCGAGGGAAAATATATTATATTGGCCAAAGGATAACCCCAATATCCTGAACCGACTATAGGATAATATGTTTATCCCATACCAATCTTGGTCATCTGGTTTACATTGTTCAATCGTGGAAATATTTTAGAATATTCATGTCCAGTTTTGTTTTCTTGGCCGTGGGCGGATTTTCCTGTTCTCTCAAATATTCCCACTTTTATTTTCTCGAATTTTTGATTGATTAAGTGGATGCTCTTTCCCTTTTTTAAACCATCAAACAGATCCCGATTGTCTGTGTTTTCTCCATTGCAGTTTACAGTCATTACGCGAACGTTACAAATTATGCACAAATATGCGAGCGGCGATTATGACGTAGCGGGCAGATATACTATATCTGCCCGCTCGGAGCGGGACGTAAAGCTATATCTGCCCGCTGATGAAAATATAAGTTTTTACAAACCGGCTTTATGTACCCGTAACACGTCCAAGTATGGGATAAATAAGGGTTATGTACTGGGAGATTTGGGATATGGGGTATGTGCATATCTCACGAGGGATGAACCCCATATCCAAACCGACCGTACATAACTGCTTTATCCTATACCAAGTAGAGTTTTCTAATTTTCTTTCAATTTTTGCAATTATTTTTTCAATTTTTTCACATTTTTCTAATTTTTCAATTTTTTCAAATTTTTTTTCTATTTTTTTCTTTTTTCAATTTTTTCACATATTTTCTTTTTTTCAATTTTTTTTATTTTTTCAATTTTTTTCGAAGCGGGAAGATATGCCCTGGAGCGGGAGATATGGAGGTTCAGGATATGGAAACCTTAAAATCAGGATACGGGATATATCTTACCAACTTATCTCCCTAAAACTCTACTTGGCATATTATATCTCACGAGGGATGAACCCCATATCCAAACCGATCGCACATAACTGCTTTATCCTATACCAAGTAGAGTTTTCTAATTTTCTTTCAATTTTTTGCAATTATTTTTTATTTTTTCACATTTTTCAATTTTTTCAATTTTTTTTCAATTTTTTTTCTTTTTTCAATTTTTTCACATATTTTCTTTTTTTTCAATTTTTTTTATTTTTTCAATTTTTTTTCGAAGCGGGAAGATATGCCCTGGAGCGGGAGATATGGAGGTTCAGGATATGGAAACCTTAAAATCAGGATATGGGATATATCTTACCAACTTATCTCCCTAAAACTCTACTTGGCATAGGATAAAATAGTTTATACACCCATCCTTGTAATATTTGCTGAATTATGGAAAAAAGTCGTATTTAAATTATACAAATAGTGACTGCCATTCGGAGAAATAAGATAACGAGAGGCCTGTTGCCTAGTGAACATGTCAGTAGACAGGACATTTCCTCGCCTCTCAGTTATCTTATTTTTCATTGCTGGAGATGGTGTAACTAATTAGGATCCTAGATTTTAAGTATACAGTGTGTTTTATATGTATGCACCCTCTCTAAACTCATATATGTAGCATTGCCACCCTATCATGCTTTATATCATTTTGTTCCTTATGGAGAGTTACATAAGATATCAAAGTTTAAGAATCAAGGCGTGTCACTGACAAAAGATTTAAACTTTAAAAATTTAAACGGCAATTCCTGGTGATTATGAGGATAATTTAAAGGACAAATCTAGTTTTCGTATTGCACATTTCCAGCTACTGTCACCATGGCAGGGCTAATTCCACATGTCGGTGGCAGCTATACACATATATATAGACAGGATTCATACAGTGGCTTATAGTGAGGTCAGGGCTGCCATGGTACCACCTTTATCACTAAAAATGGGTAGCAGACAAAGTGTACAGATCACCGGACTTAAAGATCCTTACAAAACTGCTTATTACTGCCCACATATTTTGATAGATTGTACCTTTTTTCAGGGACACCCCTTGATTCTGAACTTTCCAATCTTATGTAACTTTTCATAAGAAACAAAATGAAACACCCTGCAAATAATATCTCACTTACCTTATTTACATAGACATTGGTCCTCACCTGGTTAAATATGAATCAGTCACGAGTATATACATACAAGGGCTCCAATAACCGAGAGAAACCCATCGCTTTAGCAACACAACCAAGACATTATGAAATCCACCAGATAACATCCTGGTTGCTGAAGTGAGCTCAATTATTGGAGCTGCTGGATTATATTTGCCCATGACTGACTAGCTTTCGAGTAACCGAATGTTACTAGTAAAATACGGGTAAAATATTTTGATACAAATCAACATCTTGTGTTTGTGAAATGATGAAGATCCCGCGGAAGTTAATCCATTTTGTTATAGAGACGTAAAGTTGTATCCACGTCTCATGATTGAATGTATGTATCATTTTATATTATATATTGTCATTATATGCCTTGTCATTATATATGCCATGTCATTATATGCCATGTAAGTTTGCATTGTATGTTATTGTAATTGTATGTATAGTTTTATTTTTATTTTATCATGTTTATATTGTACACTTACCCGAAAGGGATTTTTAGTACAATAAAGCATTGAAATAATATTAAAGTAATTTAGGATGAAAATTATCAGTTGTTAGCCCTTTAAAGATAGTTATGTATAAACAATGTACACTAATTACTATACATTATTTATTACCAAGTCCTCTGACTTGAGTACAACGTGTTAGGGGTTCATTTTAACAGTTGAGTCGTGCAATATCTAAACAAAATATTTATTTTAGTTGAACCTATTACTTTTATTCTTCAAGTAACACTAATACAATAGTGGCATCACGAGGACATCACTGCAATAGAATCCTATTTTTTGCACCCTTTGCCTTAAAACCAGTTGTATTTATAAAGACTCCCTGGACAGGGTATTGAAACACTTATTACTATATCTAGTATATTTAATTTCCCCCTCTTATTCATAATTTTGTCATAATTCTCCATAAACTACTATGGTGCAATTCAACTCAAAATAATAACCATTTGAGAGAACATAAAAGCATTGTCTCTATTGCTTTTAAATGTTTTACACTAACCCGAACCTATCAGGTGAAAAGTCATTAAATTGACTTTGAATGAAACTTTTCTTGTCTGTTCTTTTGAAAGCAAATATCTTAATTGTTAACTTTGTACATTTTTCATACGGTTAAAAACAAAAGATTTTTTGTATTCATAATGTTAAGGGTGTTTGTTGTCACAAAAAACGAATTAACAATTACAATCGCTTTTACACTCTCAAATATCTAACACAAACAAAAAATCATCAAGACAATGTTCAAAAAAATAAATGCCAATGACATAGTCCTCAGTCTAGCATTACACCTTGTCTTGAAAGTAGAGGTACGTGACTAACCTCACTCTTTTGTTTTAAACATGTTTTTGATTCAATATACAGTACTTGATATAAGCCTTTAGTCGAATCTGGTGAACTTCCTGAGGTACACAGTTTGTTCAGCAATACTCTTCAGATTCCTCATCTCTGGTGTTCACAGACATATTGCATTTCTGCCGAACAGTTGACTCCATACGAGTGAACTTGTCCCTTATTTCCCTCTTTTTCAAGCGTCCCAGGGACAGGATGCTAGAAGCCACATCTTCGACCAATGGCTCAATAGGCATGGGATGATTGTATTTTCTCAATCAACAAGCTTTAATTCATTCTTCAATTTTTAAACTGGATAAGAATTTATTATAAGTCATCGTCTTTTTCAACTTTGTTGGGCACAACATGTACAAGGGATGATTTGTCTAAAAGGAAAAGTATACAATAAGTTAGTCGTTACTTCATTCGTTATTAAGTCAAACGTTCACATTTTCAGAAAATGTTTCACTCTCAAATTGATATTTGAATAACTAAACAATATTTGCAAACTTTGCATGGGCCTTAAACAGTTATTATCATGTATATTTTTATGCACAGGGGCGAAGCTACCAAATGTCAAGGGGATGCGATTGCACTCATCGCACCCTCCCGTCGCCGCCCATGACGCAAATTAATCTGATACTTACTTCTATCCACGGCTTGATGCACATCCGGATTGACCATCAGGACTTGATCCTCATGCTCTCCAGCTATTTCCTGATTTTCGTTGGGAACTTTGTTATTCAGGAACCTGTGATGGAGCCAAATTCAATTATTTAGTGCCCCCAAAATTGCCGAATGATTCAAGAAATACTAATGTTAAACCAAATACAAATTAAAAATCTTAAATAAAAATGATTTTAACATGATTTTTAACATCTATTGTAATGACTTCACTATGAATGAAATGTCCCCTGGTGTTCTGATCCTGGATTGTGATATTGTTTCTCTATTCGAGGAGGGGAAGGGGGATGTTCGACATTAATTCTTTTCACGCTAGATCATGATTGTGCATATTTAGGGTATATTTTTATTTTGAAAGGTATACACTTAGAGTTTGCTTTTCTTGCAAGGTTTCTTTACAGTTTTTGTCCTTCCCTTTGGCATTTGTGCTGAAATATTTATACTGTGATTTAAAAACTAGAATATGATTTGATGATAACAAATGACTTCAATAACATGTCGTACCTGTACACCGCAATAACAATAGCTAACAGAATAATTCCAGCTGTAACTGCTGTTGGAGCAGCGATCTTCAGTGCCAAAGAGCCACTGTCTTGTGTGGGGAGTGGTGTTGTTGAAGGCGACGGTGGTGTTGTTGGAGTTATTGTGCAATTCACGAAAGCAGCACAATGCTTCATGACATTTGGGTCGTTGAGACAGATCTTATCATAATGTTTGAAATTCTCCGTACAAATGTCACGACAGTAGAAGTCGTGCCCATCGGGTTCCCTTGTAAATCGTACATCCAACTCTCCATGAAGGCAGTATCTGTTTATTAAAGGTGCGCTGCTTATTGTCATCAAAAGTCCCGAGAATATGGCAAACGAAAGTGACATAATCAACAGTTTGCGATTGCTAACTTTTCGATTCGAAGAGTCGAATCCGAAGTTGTTTTTATAGTCAATGTGCAAGTTGGATCTAAAATTGCAAAGTAGACTTTTCACAAATCATTTTAAGTTTATATGATTTTACATATGACATCATATCAATTTAATTGTACTTTTTTGATCCAGTAGATAGATGAATCATAGAAATACTTACTTGCTTGCGGGAATTACCTGTATCATATGCACTGAACAAAATTTTCTAGCCTTGACATATCTTGAAATATTACGACATGGTATCACTTTAGAAAAAACACAATTACAACCCAGTCACTTGTAAAATCAACTTTGCCACAGACATCTACCAACACGTTAAATTGATCTAATAGACTTTATAATACAAATCTTTTTTGTAAATATCGATGCAAGAAAGAGTCTATTAAGTATGTAAATCTAACGATTTGAAAATCATGTTAGACGAACATATATCATCTGGAATTTTTTATCATGTTTACTTAGGAAGTAATCAAAGTGCTTAAATATCGATAAAATATTTGTATCATGGTCCAGTGATAAGGCATAAAATTGCACATTGCTATTACACCGGGTATTTCATCGATTGGAGTTACTTAAGGGTACTTTGACTTTGACACACGTTCAGTTGATGATAACATGGTCGTAAATTGTTTTGAAAGTGTTTGCCTGTTTTGAATTTCACAATGTTATTCCAAAATTTTGTTGAGTAATATGAATTATATTCCAGATCAAAAAAACATAGATTCGCACGTACAGCACTTACTTCTCATACAACAATTTATGCTAATTTTTGAAGCTTTCGAGTATGGCATTTGTATGTCATAATGAAATTCATACATGAAATTATTCTGCAGAGTAAAATAACAAATAAAATCGTACATGCTAAACAAAGATATCTGTTTGCGTTTAACATCTTTGGCATAGCCTGTGGATTCTACATGTATGGTGAGCCAAATTTATTTTTCAAATGCCTTATATTGGATTTTCGGCCTCATTTGTGAATATATTAAACTTTTAGGGGGAAATTTCGTCAAGCTATTTGATTGTTAAAGAACATTACCAAAGAAGTCCATGGGAATTCATCTCATGTTTATGAACCCATTCAATCCAAGGGAATCCCAAGTCTTTATTTCTATGACTCATCATGACGAAAACAAAAATAGGAAGTACAAACCAATTTGTACGTCTATATAAATGAAATGTGATTTGTTCAGAGTGTGTTTCACAATTTCAGATCGAACCTCCACACTGAATATAGAACCTTAAAGAACAAAAATGAGTACGAATTTCGTCGACGATTGTCTAGCCAACCAGGGGCCAATTCAAAAGAATATAAAAGGACAGGCAAATTGCAAACGGTGTACAAAACGGGGGACACGTGGGGCCGAAGAAATGAGTTCAGATATTGTAACAAATCCTGGGAGCAAGGGACACACAGATGATCATGGTCATCCACCTGGGGTTAGAGGAGAAGAACGACATGCTGTTCAATTCGTCGAGAAAGTTGATCCCAATATTGAATGTTGTGAATGCGGTCATGTGTTACAAGAAGGTATTCAGACAGCGTGTGGACATAGGGTGTGCGAAAAACATATTAATGATAGCTTGGAAAAAGGAGAGATATATACTTGCCAAGGGGGAGACCCAGACTGTGTTGAAGTAAATGAGAAAAACAGACACAATTTGGTAAGTAACTTTACATGTACACGTGTTCGTTTTGAAAAAGTATAGAAGTAGTAAATCTACAGATCATATACTTGTTACTGATTTCAACTGATGTAATTATATTAGTTGAAGTTAAATGGAAATCGCCACCTAACACACATGTGTGTGTGTGTCTCTAGGGTTTATAAAATCGTTATGATCAGAGTCAATATGTTCTATACAGAAAGATTTTGATAATGTCGTGTTAAAACTGTTACAAATAATACATACCACTTGAAATACTTTGAGCTAGTGAAAGTACAAAAGAAAATATAAAAATGACTACACATACAAATGGACATATTTTTATATAATCAAAGAAAGTCGGTACCTCATCCGTTTCTGCATGTCCATGCTTACATGTTCTTAATTATTATTTTTTGCAGATATACCCAGATTATGTTGCTAGGAAGGTCATCTTAACCTTACATGTATATTGCTTGAATAGGGAATATGGCTGTTCCGAGGAAACCCCATTAAAATCATTACAGGTATGAGGAAAAGCATCTAACCAAATAATTGGATGTAATACTTGAAATCATGTTTTTGAACAGATAGTTATTTTACATCGTGGCTCTGGGTAATTATATTTAAAAAATTCAACGACATAATAAGAATGGGTGATTATCGTTTAAACGCTTAAACATGTCTACAAGATTATTATTATAAACAATAGTTATTTTATTGCACGTGTTGTGGTCCTTCAATTGCTAAATTGGGCAAAAAGATAATACAGATAGTTTATTATTTTCCAGAAACATCTTGCAAAATGTGACTTCAGAAAGATACAATGTAAAAATGAAGGATGTAATGAGTTCATTTGTTCCAAAGAATTGGAAGAACATATGACACAAGAGTGCGACTTTAGAATTGAGATATGTCCAAAATGCAATGATCCAACACCTCATGCACGTATAAGTGTAAGTTCATCAATTTTATTTATGTTGAGTTTATTATGTGTTATATTGCCTCAAGGATAGTGTGATGTGTCACATTTTTCTTCTCGTGATACTACAGGGTGGGCCAAAAAAAACACCCCCCTAGCCATTATTCCTGATAAATATTTATTTTTTAACATGTACACCAACAATGATATATCATTTTAAAGATAATTTAATTTGCAACAAAATGATATATAAAAGCACCATTTTCAACAACCCCAGATGGATACATAACCAATTATGTGACATGGGGGTCAAAAAACACCTTTTCAATTTTCATCGATTTTGCGAACAATAGCCTATTTCTACCAAATTCTACTGTTCATTTAAAAATTGCAACATTGTCATGAGTCTTTCATAATTGGATATTATATTTTGTTTTCATTCAGTTTTTGAACCATGCATGCTCAAAAAACATGTGTATGCTTATAAAACAAATTAATTTCTTCTTCAGTCTGTCCAAATATGACTCAATAGATCCACCCCCCCGGACCCATCCTCTGATTGGATTATTCACTTAAGACACGTAAGCCATTGGTTGATGGCATAATTGATGGATGTATGCGGAAGTTGTACCTTTCAACTGCTAGTTATTCTTTCTTTTAGTTCCTCTACATCCCTGATAGGCTGGGTATCTTTAAATACCAACTGTTCTAGATGCCCCCAGGAATGGTAATCAACATTATTGGCATCTGGACTGTCAGTAAGCCATTTGTCCGGGCGAGAGATGGTGTCATTTCGAATCTCCAAAAACTCCAGGGTAGCATTGGACCTGTTTGATGAAGCACTTTCCTATCAGCTAATGAAATTCCTTTCACATGTTTTTTACATCCTTGAGGAGTCCTTTTTAACACCTCATGTCATTAACATTCAGAGTATATTTTTGCTCCTGGTTCAACAAAAACAGGGCCTGTACGGTCTTTCCCTTTTGGGAAACACCGAGTGGACACCACTACCCTTTCAGAAAAATGTCATCTCGATTTGAGTAGCCTTTTATCGCAAATGTCCCTATTCTTGCTTACTGATATATAGGGTCTATCCTGTTGATTACATGTATAGTACCTTGGCCATTTAGAACAGTTGGTCTATGAAGATCACTAGCCTATCAGGGATGTAGACAAACTGAAAGAATGAATAATTAGGAGTTCGATGGTACCTTCGCAGAGATCCATTAATTATACCAATGGCTTTCGCGTCTTTAGCGAATAATCCGATCAGAGGATGGGTCCAGGGGTTGGGTCTATTGAGCGATATTTGGACAGACTGAAGATGAATTTAATTTGTTTTATAGGCATACACATGTTTTTTGAGCATGCATGGTTCAAAAACTGAATGAAAACAAAATATAATATCCAATTATGAAAGACTCATGACAATGTTGCAATTTTTAACTGAACAGTAAAATTTGCTAGAAATAGGCTATTGTTCGCAAAATCGATGAAAATTGAAAAGGTGTTTTTTGACCCCCATGTCACGTAAATGGTTATATCTCGAGCCAGGGGTGTTGAAAATTGTTCTATTATATATCATTTTGTTGCAAATTAAATTATCTTTAAAATGATATATCATTGTTGGTGTACATGTTAAAAAATGGATATTTATCAGGAATAATGGCTAGGGGGGTGGTTTTTTGGCCCACCCTGTAGTTCATTGGTAAATGCCTTACCATTTGGCGCAACGAATAAAGCATTCCATTCAATGTATACAAATGTCGGTTTCATCTTCTAATTCATAATGTACCGTTTACATGTTCTTTTCTATATTTGAGTAATTTATTTTGTAGGAACATTTATTAAAACAATGTAGAGAAGAACTGATCAAATGTCCATATAAATGTGGATCGGAATTCAAAAGAAAAGAACAGGAATCACATGAAAAGTATTGTACGTCTAAGCCTACAACTTGTGAACTAAAGACACTGGGATGTGGATTTAAGGTAAGAATTGCAATATTTCGAAGTAAAAATGCAGATCAACACGAATATATTTTGTATACCAATAACTAATATACATGTAGAGAAATTGAATATATACCAGGCTTCACATTTTACATATTAATTAGAGTAATTTTTGAACAATTTATCTAGATGTAATTCTAATTAAATCAAATTTGTTTTGGTCGTAGGGATCTCAAGAAGATGTTAAAAAACACGAATCTCTAAGTAATATTGAACATCTTGGAATGTTTTCTAAGAAGCTAGAAAAACAGTCTGTTGAATCAAATACACTAGAAAGACAAATAGAAGAGATGAAAAATGAAAAAGAAATATATAAGAAAGAAATGAAGGACCTGGCTGACAAGATGGGAGGTTTAGTAAAACAATATAGCGATATACATTCCAAAGTTCAGAATATTCAGGTGAGTGTACTTAGTTCTTATTTGAATTTCTTCATTTCTATCTATTTTGTTATTTATAGCACTAATGCAGTAGATATGAACAAAAGATGCAACGTGATATTTACAGTGGGAACGTTTATAATGTGACCGCTTAAACTGTATGCTATGTAGACACCATGGAGACTGTTTGGATGAAAATGTATCGGCGATATGGAATGATTAAAACGATCGATATTATGATTGCTGGATGTAAAAGCTTTGCTAATGTAAGCTATACACTTCTTAAATTTTAGAGAGCAATGGTAAATCATGGTGAAATGGTGATATCACTAGATGATAAATATACATCATTTAAAAGTGAAAATGAATCTCTTCGGATGGATTCAATCACTAATATGGAACAGAGACTGCTTGTTCTGGAAAACAAAGGAGATCGACGTTATACTTCGACTTATGGGGAGGATGGAGCCTCAAAAGATGCCGTAGGTAAATATCTGAGCCATTTCTTTTGTGTTTTCTAACGTATACAATTTTGTTTGGAAGGATGGACAAAATCCTTATGTTTATGAAAAATCAGTAAGTGTTTCATACAAATGCAACATAATTATGTATTTTTATGGCCAACGGATTTTCACTGACTGACATTTACGTGTATGTATGTTTTCACTTCAGACGGTTTGAAAACACAAGTAAGACAATTGGATAGAATGACGGGGCTCCATGATATACGTCTAGCGGAAGTTGATCTCAGATTGGACTGCAATGATATAACATCATATGATGGACACATTATTTGGAAGATAACAGGAATTGAACAAAGGAAACGCGATGCTGTAAGCAGAAAAACTCTATCTTTGTACAGTCCTCCGTTCTACACCAGCAAATATGGGTACAAAATGTGTGGTCGCGTCTACCTAAATGGGGACGGAATAGGAAAAGGGACGCACGTGTCCCTATTCTTTGTTTTAATGAAGGGGGAATATGACAATGTACTCGAGTTCCCATTCCGTCAGAAAGTCTCATTTATGATTCTTGATCAGTCTTCCGAGAGGCGTCATCTCCAGGATTCCTTCTACCCAGACCCCACTAGTTCCTCATTCAAGCAACCAACCGCCAATATGAATATTGCCTCGGGATGTCCATTATTCGTGAGACAAGATGTCCTAGAGAACCAAGGATATTTGAAAGACGATTGTATTTACATCAAAGTGTCTGCAGATATTAATGATCCACCTCTTGTCCCTTTATAATTTTGATAACAGATAACTCCTTCTATTTTTATAATGTGTAGTAGTATATGCTGTATAAAGCTTTTTAATTTATTCAAGTACTTCGTGTACCATATGTAAATATATTTAATGTAAATGTTGTAAATAATTTCTATAATTGAGGAATGACCACTTTCAAGTATATTAACATTGTTTCTTCTGTAAAAGTCACATTTATACATGTGATTTGAAACACTGATGCAAGTCTTTTATTTGCACTATATATGTCATGTTCTTAGTTTCTTTAACACTACATTAATTTATTTTTTATTTAATATCATCTTTACATTTTTTGCATTTATATTGATAGGTTTGGGCAATGATAATAATTTTGGTATGAGTGTTTACAAAGAGGTAACATCATTCAAAGTCATTGCTTTATCAGGCTTAACGAGTTCAGGTTTGGTTGATTTAGCGTTCGTATCCATATGAAATGCGTTGTTGATGAATGCCCTCTCCCCATCGCTATCAACTAAAGCTGTTCCATTATCTTTCTCTCCGCTACGATCATTTGAAGTGATGTCTTCATATGCTGACCTGAAAATAAAGTATTCTTTCTTAGATGTGAAAATACATATTTTATCCCGACATTCCTTAATCCCTATTTTTAATGGTCAAAATCAAATATGAATCCCTTATAACCAAAGTACTATATATAATATTGTTATTATTTCAAATCAGTCAGAATTGCCCTTTTTATTCCATTGTCATTGCCATTCTCAAGAAACTGCCGGATTGCAATCATCATACTTTTAATTCTCAGATTATCACAATATGCACTAGAAATCTCTATATGTAGATAATCTATTTAATCTAGCTGTAATTCATATATTTGTAAATTATAATAAGAATATGCAGACACTAACGTTCCAAATAATTCTCCGTCGGAGAGGTTTTCGGGTAGCCTGATCCCTCTAGTCTCCGGTAACATCAATGAAAGAAGCGCCGCTCCAAGAGGAATACCACCGAGAACGACGTATGGAAGACCAAACCATACTGAAGCCTATAATTTCAAAAATGTAAAAAAAGAAAACCTGAATACCCTTTTAATGAATTTAAAATAACCAACGAAGAAATGAAGGGACGAACTTGAAAAGGAGTGAGAAGGGGTATTTATAATTTTTCAAAAACCATCCATTTCCTGAAAAATTAGGACTTTTATCGTAAACGACATTCTAAAAGACTCAAAGCGGGATCCAATGTTCGTGCACTTTCAACCACGTGACGCCAGATCATGTACTCACGAGAAGGTATATTTGAGGTGTTATGAGTCCCCCTATGCGACCAAAGCTGGAACCAGCTCCAAGTCCCACGTTCCTTAGTGGCGTTGGGAATATCTCACCACTATACAAGTAGATCAGACTAAATGCGTTTGCTAGGAGCATTCTACCTATGCAGGCAACTGTTGTTACCAACTGTGGTATATCTAAAGCAGAAATATTATATATTATTATTTCACTGTCAGATTTCGCACTCATTGATTGGCCTATGTCCCACACGTGACTGGGAAATAAGAAGAGATATTCCCCGGATGTACACATGACAAGAAAATATCAAATGAAATTTTTGGTCACCAAAATTGGATATTTTCCAAATAAGACGTCAATTCAACGTCATTTAACCATTTTCAGAAAATAAGTCTAGCATTTTGAAATATGTATTGAGGTAGGGTCCAAATCCATGTTTTGGGGTCGTGGGGTTGTTATTTTTATTTTTTTATCTCGCGGATCTTGCTTGAATGAAAATATATTAAAGTTGGATCATGTAAACTAAAACTTTACTTGTCAAGAGTATTGGGGCCATTGCGATGCACATCACTCCTCCAACCCCAAGGAAACCAGGTAACGATACAACTCTTGGGATCTTCTGGATCCCTATGAAAAGCGATATACATGAGACCAGAGGTACCATTGTAGACATAAGTAAATAATTCAGGAATATGCTGCCTGGTATTAATGTTCCTACATTCAAATCCATTGCATAATTGCCAAAAACACATGCAAACCTGAAAATACAATAATAGTGTTTGGTCTTTCTGTCTTTATATATGGTTACCTAAAAATTATCAAAGTTATTTTCCAAGAACCTGATTTGCCCCGAACCCACCATTCCCAAATAATTTACATGGGAATGGCGGTTTTCAAAATCTATCAACGTTATCTATTATGGACATATTGTAAATGAGGACAACATTTGGGAACATATGGAAGAATAGGAAATAAATCAATCTGCATATCTATTGAGCGAGATTTTAAATATGCAAGGGTTTTGGCTAAAGGAGGTATACATTATTTTTTATCTTTAGACTTCATTTTCACTGTTTTAATTAATTGACAAATACATCTATATACATATAGTTCTGTAAGATTTGGTTGAGACAGTTACGTCGCATGCTTCAAGCCTGCCTACTCGCACTGCTCGAGATATGAGAATGTGCAAGTAGCTAGGGTGTTACGAATATTTTCCAAATGTGCTTGTTCCATATAGATTTAAACATTATATTAGGGTTGTCTATACTTGCCAATAAGAGCACACAACTAATGTGTATTTTCTCAAGTTTGGTGTCCTAAACAAGTCGAAGAATGTCCCTTTCTTTTCAGATGAAGCGTCATCTTTTTCCTTTGAAACATAAACATAATTATTACATTATGAAAATACTGTATCTTGGCATTAATATTAAGTACTAACCAGAGCTCATGATACTTAAAACGCCAACGGTAACATGAGACGTGATTTATACCTGTGTAAAGCAACAATATAATCTACATGTATCTATGAAGACAATGTAAATCATGAAAATGTGATTTTTTCTTCACATGTTGTAGTATAATTGTATTCATCCATATCTCTGTTCAATTCTTGAATCTTTTACGCTTATACCCTTCGATATCGTGCTTTTTTCCTAAACTTTCTATATTTTTCTCAATTTTTTCAAGGAATAACATAATAAACATAAACATATGCATATGTTTTTATGTATTACAAACAAAGTAATGATTATTTAATTGTAGGAAGGAATTTCTCATGGAAAATATTGAAAATATTTATTTTGAAACATTTAACACGGTGTCAGTTTTTCTTCTGTTATATATTTTTTTATTCATTTATTTACATATACTCTTTTCTAACAGTCACCACTACAATACATAAGGTGCATCTATAGATGGTCATACACATATAATATATGTGGTGATATGTAGTGATATGTATGTACACCATATTCTTATTAAACTAAAATAAGTCGTAAAGGAATTAAGATTTATTAAGCGTGTTGAGATTTAATTTTATATCGAACAATCACCAAAGTATTACCTCGACTTGCTTTAAAGAGAACGATGCAGGAATTTCCTCCCTGTTCCATTTTGCTATTTTTCTAGAAATTGCCTCGGCATCTGCAACACGGCCCACAGATATCAACCACCGTGGACTCTCAGGGACGAATATTCTAGAATATATAGTAAAAGAGACGTTTAAAATTAATGCTCGTTATACACATGAATAATACAACTCACAGAAACAGAAATTCCATTGAGAAGCTATAATTACCATGAAATACAAGTAGATGGCATAAGACTTGAGTTCTCAAGATAAAATAGGCTCTTTTATTGTTACATACATGGCGAAAGGAACCATAGAAAATAAAGTCCGCTCGTGAAATTCATTGCTACACGATAGCCAGTACAGTTTTAACATAAACCATTCCTGTAATATTAATACTCAAGCTTTTCGATATATCCGTATGTATAATATACAAATCCAGTATTTAATTTTATTGAGGTGAATACATGTGCATCTTTCACAAGTGATATTCCACGAACTAGTGGAAAATCATCTTGTGAAAGTGTCACAGATATTCACCGAAAATAGAATTAAACATTTATTTTATTATTCATTGTTATATTCCTCACTCACATTAATGGAATAATACACTATTGATGTCTTATTAATCAGAACAATCTACTCCCATGGATACATGAAATTGAAATTACGCTGGACTAAGTCCTGACTGGTGAATATCAATTGTCACGTGACTTCCGTTGACTATCGCTTGTTATTTTTAGTCACGTACGCGTGAAGGACATGGGCCAATCAGAGAGTGAGGAATATGACAGTGATATAATAAAATATTATATTGTAATTTGAAATTCTTTGAGCTGTATTGTAAATAGTTATGCTTACACGAACAATATAAGTCCCGGTACCATACCTATGGCCCCTATGATCTGTAGGAGCCAATGGTCTCTGAGCAACCATGCTACAAGGGCAAGTGATCCTGTGCCTACTCGCAATAGCGCATCTGTTAGTATTGTCATATATCCTCGGTGGGTCGGCGGACAAGCTTCGATTACTTAAACAAAGTATATTACACAATTCAGCGGCATATCTAATAATTTAATCTATATGTCCATTGAATACTTAAAGTCGATAGTCCATCTCAGTTAGGTCATAACGTTGAATACCTACACAGTAACCAGTATGGAGTGTAAACCCCTATCGCCGTCATACCAGCAATTGTTCGGAGTGTGAGGAATACGATATAGTTAGGAGCAAACGCTGCTGAAAACGCCGACACAATGTGGAGCACTCCTATTGCTAATGTGGTTACTTTCCTGCCAAACCTGTAAAAGTTCTTAGAGATACTATAAAGCAGTATACCAACTCATTTATGATACACTGTTCTTTCACAGGGTGGTACAAAAATGGGAAACATACATATATACTGTATATCGTATTCAAAATAGTCTAACTATTTTTTGGTTGATATAAGACAAGCAGGACGTCACCGCCAGAAGCAGATATAGAAATCGAAGGAAATTGTGAATTTCTATAATTTTCATTTTTCAATATTTGTCAGTTTTATAAAAAAAAGCTCACTGGACTATATAATTGTTATCAGTAGAAACTAATGAACAATAAATCGTATATTTTCTAAACAATAGAAATATATTCTACTTTTTAAAGTCGTGAATGATTATTGCTTTATTTATATACAAAACTTCGTTTGAAATACAATAACTTGGTTTATGGATCCAATGGCGGGCTGATCGACCTACTTACTTATCCGAAAGAAAGCCAGAGCTAATTGCGCCAAAGAAAAGACCAATCATAAGTGCAGTACCCGCAAGGCTAGACAGCCAAGAACCCTCACACACAAGGTCGTACTGGAGAATAAGAAAATACAGAGAGGATGATATCAATATATTGACTTATTTAGCCCGTATTTTGATAGATACAGAGTATCAAAACAATGGCAACTCCCACACACTGTATCAGCCTCAAAACACATGCAAAAAGTTCAGAATTATAAGCTAATGTTTAAAGTACAAATGATGACCATTTGTTTTAATATGCTTAAAAGGTATCCCGTGTTACTCTGTAAACTATCTTATGTTAATAGTTTAATATACCTTCCTAAAGAGCATTATCACAATCGATTCACATTTGTTGTAGGGACCCTTGGAAAGCAAAAAAGCTCAAAATCTAGTAATACAGATCTTAAAAACCCGTTGATGTCATCTCCATCCAGCAATTTTTAAACTATGGAAGTTGTTCTTTGTAATTGTGATACTAAATAAGAGAAATGGGTGGATGCCGTTGTCTTCTCATGTACTTCTGCCTATATTGGAATAATGCCCTCAATAATTGATTCTTCATATAACGACCTTAAATCGTGCGTTACCTTTCAATGAATTTCCTATATAACTCTATTATCGAAGCAAAATACTTGTTTTCTTGAATTCTTCTAAAATGAAAACCAATATATGCTCTACCTCACTCATAACTGTCGTTTTCATAACTGATCGGTCATATTCCCACTTATCACAGGTTTTTGTGGTGATGTTTGTGTAGTTCGTGGCCAGCATTTCGTCAACTGATATAGCCGAATAATTTAGATTGTATATTCTGCATTTACTATACATCCTGTCACCGTTCTTCTCTTCTATTGGAATAGAAAGCTGTTTTTGAAGACTCACATTTAAATGTTGTAATTCGGGTACCTAAAATTCAACAGTTCGCATATCATCAATCACGTAGTATCTACGTAGCCATTTTATGCAAGTCTCGGCTGTCGGCTCCCGGATTAACATACTAATTTGCAACCAACTCTTTTAAATATGAATGGAACAGTGGCAGGTGCTATATTCATATTTGATACGTTGACTACTAAGGACGTGATATCAAGTCCAAGCACAAACCCAATGTATTTTTGGGGGAATCTTGTAACCATGACAACTTATAAAATGGGACTTAAAAAAGCAGTCTTACAATTACAGTGAGAGAATACGAACTCACTTTATGTATACGTATAAATATTGAAATTTAAACTTGATTAAGTACTATTCATATTTGAATGAGTAAATAGTACGTTTATCCGGTAGCCGTCAGCCGAAAGTTACATTCGCAAATTAATACAAACTTAGTTTTGTAAAAGAAAATAAGACAACGGAAAATGTAGATGTGTTCAATTTAAATTAATTTCCAATATTCTAGCCCTCTACTTGAACTGTATCCGACACAGTCACGCGTAATTTGGTACATTACAAAATTCTAAAACAGTAAAACAAAAAACCAATCTTGCGGGTAATGCACTGATGCACCTACCATACACCAATGGTCCATATCTGCAGCAATGAATATTGTGAGGTGATATTGCCACATATGTGGCCCTGCGAAAATCGTCCATATTAACAAAATTATCCATTGGAAACGACCAAAGCCGCCCAATGATGGCAGTACTGCGTCGAACTTCATTGTACTTTCAAAACTACTGTTATATTTAGCAATGATGTTTATTCAGATGAGTGTATTGTTATATCCCTCCCAATTATGGTGCCTTTCAGGTCAGTGCCATGTAACATCTACCTTGACTTTTTAGATGACATGCTTTCACTTATAAAAACAATATTGTAATATTCTAAAGGACATTTGTATGTAAAACATGTAAAGGCGGACGACATAGCAGATCAAAGTACTTGGCCATGTCGGTTTACATTGACAGATCGACGATCTTTTATCTCAAACAACTAAACAAGTCTTCGAGAAGTTGTGCTTACATCTTCATGTGTGCCATCTATACAAAATCATCTCCATAGTTGATGATGTACAGGGTGAACAAACATATTATTTCGCTATTGATGTGCAATCAATTACCATAGTATACAATTTATTCCGAAAAGTCTTTGCTGTATTTGTCTGAAAAAGCTTAACAGATAGTAGGTGTGTGAATTCGAATACAAACTCTCAGTTTCGAGTTTCATATTTGCTTTAACAAGTGTACAATGTCAAGCTTTGCTCCACAATATTGGAACCACCGGAGCCATAATACGTTGCAACTAGTGCGTATTGCAACCAATGTGTATTGTAGTGTTGTGAATAGGAAAGGGTGGACTGATTTAACATCCTGAAACTCCCTGATGATTTCCAATTGAGGAACGATTGCATCTCTCTATTTCTGCATCTCCAACAAAATATTTCCGAAAGCAATGCATTTTTAAATCAGTTAACGCAAAATAGAAAATGGACAAAGTATGGTTTACTACACAGGGTGTGCCAAGTTGAACCACTTTGTTTATATGTATCAATCAATTAGTATATATATATTTAACCATGCCCTATTATGTCCAGGAGTTCCAGTTTATGTCATATGAGTGACTGACTTATTCGTCCTTTATGAAACAAGTGTTAGAACTGCTCACTGGAAACATCGTGGATCGCTAACCATTTCATTTTCATTTTTGTACAATGTTGGTTATACAATGGGATTTTGTACAGTTTGATGTCTAGCTGACTGCACAATATGATTTTCCATTTTGCATGTCAATTCAGAAAGTTTTGTGCTTTAGGTATATCATTATTGGCCTGGCCAACCCATGGGTTATACGGGTTTATAATAGATGGATACCCCATTAGTCAGTTTTAATACTGAGTTAATGCCTTGAGTTCGGTGTATGATGGTCTAAATAAAATCAAATGTAGAACTGATCCCCGTGGCACACCATACTTATATATTCTATTCTGTATTTCGTTTGGAACGCAACATAATATTTATTGAAATATCATATTATATCATATATTGAGATTAATGTAATACAAGGGCCGAGCAATATATTCGCTTCTTTTTGCTTTATTTTCTTTTATATTTGTTTATTTCCATTGAAATTTGGTACAGACATAGAGTGTAGAATTCCGCATCTTTTGATTCCATTTTCAAGCCCATTGCCAAATATGGCCAAAAATTATGGTTGTCATAGCAACGAAAGGAATGAGCCACCGGAGCTGCCCATAAGTTTACTGCAATTGCACATGCAACAATATCTTTATATGCCCATTTCTCATAACAAAAACATTCAGTTTGGGTAATTTTTAAAAACATTGTTTACTGGACATTGATCCAATATTCAGAACAATGGTTGTGATGTCATAGATGTTCTTTTCAAACAATAAAGAGGTCACAATTGATCCGCATATGCATCACAAAAGGGAGACTCTGCGAAAGAACTTCATGGATGCAGTTCGTAAAAAGCGCCCAGTATTGATCAACCATATGATATATCATCAAGATAATGCTCCATCACACAGGGCCCGTGAGGTAACTGCTATATTAGCAGCTCTAAACATTGAAAAATTTGATCATGCACCATACTGTCCAGACCTTGCATTGTGCGACTTTGAAATTTTCGGCAAACTGAAGAATGAGCTACGCGGGCAGAGGTTTGGTGACCGTGAAGAAGTGGTTGAGGCCGTCCATAAGGCCCTAAAAGACCTATATGGAAATGGAAGCGGACTGCAACAGGCCTATCAAGACTGGCTTTCCCGATGTAGAAAATGCATAGCTGCAGATAGACACTATTTTGAGAATGAGGCATGGAATGAGGAGTAACTGTCTTAATTAACAAAAAGGACATTTTATATAAAAGTTGTTTTCTGAAACATTGTCACAAATGTCAGCTCCGGTGGTCACTATCAACCAATATTCAATGCCATGTAAAATATTACGGATGTAACCAAATAAATGCACATTTGGTGATATTACAGAAAAATGTTTTTTCTATTATTTTGGAAAATTTCAGGTAAGATACTTTATTATTAACAATTTGAGAGCAAAAAGTAGCGAATATATTGCTCGGCCCTTGTATATGCCATAAACGTTAACACCAACTACATTTTCTGCATTGCTTGATACGTGATGTAATTAATTTAATGTTGTAGTTGGTACGTTGCAAAGTTTACCTATCCATATATGTGAAGTGATTTTTTTATTTAAAATAAACAGCAAAATATATACAACATATTACAGTGAGTGTGAGTACAATACAAAATCATTTTCAAAAATCAATCAGTGTTTAAAATGCAATCAGCTAAATAATAAATGCTGGTATTGTTCTGTTCACAAACAGTACAATGCAGTTTTTAAGTTGGATAATTTTCTTAGATGTAACATTGGTTAGTCTAGGATTACCAAATAAAACATTATACAGGTTATACCTGGGAAATGCTTATCCCATAAATAGCTAACTAATATTTGCTCTTGCACTAAGCAACTTTGACAGAGTAATCTTGTTCTTCAATTTGATATTTGTACATTAATTTTCTGGTAGGACATATTCCATGCATAATTTTCCACTGTTATTCAATCATTTTTTCTTTAAATAATTATTTTGTAAGGGTCCATTGTTTTTCACTGAAATCCATCTGGACCAATGAGCTACCCATCTTTAGTTAATTGAAGTATTCGATTTTTACATGTTAATTCTTTTACATTAATGTGTCTGAAAGATAAAGACTCACTATGCTGCGGAATTGTTCTACTTATTAACAGTCTTGAAATAATAGAATTAACTGTTGTTTACTGAAACCAAGTTTCACCATTTCTTAAGAGAGTTTCACATAGTTGGTGATAGTTTATTTATTTATTTATAGTGGTCAGTCTTATAATTCAATAAGATGTAAAAAATTAATTACAATTTTACCCAGGTCATCTTGGGCTTATCAACCAATGTTAACAATAGGAAATATAGGATCAATACACGAAAATCAATATTACATGTTGTAAATGAATTGCCTTCTCCGCACAAAAGCCATCTTAATTTTAACAATTTTACAGGTATGTTCCCCTAAAAGAAATTCAATTTTGCTACCTTAATTATCCAAATCTTTAAAAGGAGTGGTATCGATATGGAGAACTGAATTCAACAATGTTTATCTCTTAAACCAATCAGTGAAAACATTCTGTAAAAAACACGGTACTTTATGTAATGTTGACTGATTGACAACAATTTAATGCGAAAATTATTTAGAAATATATTTTATATAACTGTTTTTGTTAACATTTTTTGTTTTTTTAGTGCAATTGTTTTTGTTCCTTTCTACCAATTCTTTTAAATGTCTATTTTGCCAGCTTTTCATTATTTTTTCACATTTTTCAAATTTAGACTGTACATTGTCATGACCTTGTGAAAGTTTTGGAAGAGATTGAATCGAACAAATTAGGATGCATCAATTTGAAAAGTCATAACACTTTAATGAAGTCTAGTCGCTGTCTGAAAGGTAGTCGATTACGGTTGCTCACAGCGACTCCTTATGATTTTTACCTCGAAATGGGTCTTCTAAAATTTAAAGTCAATGAACACAATCGTGAGTTTTTTAAACATGATACCACGTCCTAAATAAGGTCATCTTAATTACTTTCTTGATAAGCTATACCGATTAGTTAGTCTACATACAAACCCAAAAAGAAAAGTTTAACCCTTGATCTTAAAGTATTACCTGTACGTGCACACTATAAAACTACATGGAGATTATCATGCTTTAGTTTAATTAGTTGACACGTGTCCTTACGAACAGTATTTGTAGAAAGTTAGCTTAATTACAATATGTTTAGACGAAAAAGCGACAAAATTAGGATTAAACTGCAATAAAACGTTAACAAAGTCAAGGAAAGGCCGACAAGTGATTGAAGATCAGTCCATTGCTGAATTTTACATGATTATACGGACTGAGACACCGTGAAGACGTAATATTGAAAAATGTTGATGATAGTAGGCCTACTTAGTTTATGCTTTAACTATGGCCAAAGCATGTCAGAAGGGGCCCCGATTACCGCATGTGGTGACATGTTTCCTTCACATGGATTCCCTACTCAATATACCTCACCACCTTATAAGATAACATTCGAACCTCCGGAGTACAGCCCAGGCCAGGATATAAAAGGTAAACATATTGATGAGATCAAATAAAATCAAATGCCTTCGAAAAGTCTTATTCATAGTGTTGCTGGACATTTGAGGTCCTCTCTTCATATGGAAACGTATTTCATTCAGAGTTTGATATTTAGTAGCAAATGCATGCAAGGCCCAGTGTGTTTGGTAAATTATAAATAAACAATTATAAATACCATGGGCTTTCAATTAGTTGAAAGCCCATGTAAATACTAAGTTTTGAATTTGCAATTTCATTTATTCCAGTGTCATTGGAGAAGACCACTAAATTAGGATTCAAAGGATTCCTTCTTATGTTTAGAGATTCAGATGATTTTATAACTGGAAGTTTTAAAAAACATGGAGAAGATGAATTCAACTCGGTTGCATGTGATAACCCAGACGACACTGTAGCAATCACCCACGTAAGCAGTGCTGTGAAAAAGAAGGTATCTTTTATTTGGAAGGCACCAGACGATGCATCCGGACCGGTGACGTTGAAGTAAGTTCGCTCCTTCGCAGTGCACCTTATATATTTGTGGTAGTGTTGAGGGAATTGATATCCCTTGGAATAATCGTTCCCTTCCCATTCATTGATTGTTACATTGTATTCTGCTTGTCTAGGAGCCAGCTAAGACGTAATTAACGGATGGTGATTATTCCAACAATACCGTACAATATGACATTATGCTGAAGATGTTTTTTCAAATTATGTTTTTTCAAAAAGTGGTTTAATAGACTAGATGCGAGTAGAAATAGGTTTGATTTACGTCATTAAATATTCAAAATTCAGTCAAAGTGATGTCATATTTGAAATCTGCGTGTAAAAGTACATCAAAAAATATATGGTTTTGAAAATTGTTTATCAACTTTGGAAATTTAATCTTTTTTGAAAATGTGACTTATTGGTCGGGTTGATTCCCCATAGGCCCCATGTTACAAAATCACAAAATCTTTTATTGTATTGGACAGATAACATTTTTCTTTACTGGACGTTTTTTAATTTGCATAACCATAAGGGTTATATGAAAAGTGAACAACTAAAGCACATGCAATTTAAGTTAAAGGGAAATTTCTATTATACCCGCCATGCTATATGACCCGAACGAGCCACCTGGTGGTGAAACTGGTAACTGCCTTCTCGCATCTGCGTTATTTCTTCTATGATCAATTTGTTTATAAAATATATATTCTTTACAGACAGAATCGCTAACACATATCTTTTTGTATTACAGATGGACAGTAGTTCAAGAGTACGGAATGTATTGGGTGGACCAACAAATTACTCTAAACGAAGCTGAATGACATTTGAAGATCTTATCTGGACGGAAAATTCATGGCAAATTTATTTTGACCAAAGATAATGAAACATTTCTATAATAAACAAATGGCAATTTGATTTGTAGAGACAATGTAGTGATCGCTACATCTTTTTGTAAATCATTAAATAGGATTGATCGCTTAAAACAAATTATCAATGCAAACAACCTATATTTCTTATAATGTTATTTTTATAATTAAATTGAAGCAAAATACAGTTATCATACATTCATCAGTAAATATTCGATACTTGGCAGACTAGAATCTTAGGTAGTATAAAGATCTTACGATTCTAATACGATAAGCAGACCATGGCCAGTAATGCAACCTTTTTATTTTTGGCACTTGTCATGCATAGTAATTGTTGACATAGCATATCATTTTAGAATTTGCATTGTATTTGTTTTGCTATTAGATATTATTGCCTGTTTTATTTTGCTATACTCTTTAGTCTTTCCCATTTGGCCACTCAGTGTACTTACGACAACTTTCTAATGTATGTTTGTGTGCAACACTGATCAAAATGTCCCTCGGTTGTTTGAAAGTGGGCTTGCGATAACATTTTTGAGTTGCTACCATTTTGTGGATACAAATTGAGGCTATCCTTTTTAACCAAAATCTAAAAAGTCTTTAAGATTTTCTTGACTAAATTGAACCCAACGTACCACGCGAAAAACAACAATTTATACAGTTTCAGGTCATAGATTCCATAACTGCTTAACATGATAACTGAGAAAAGAAAGGTGTTCAAAATTAGAAGGTTGTACCTTTGTAGAAAATAATCATAGGGTGAAATCATACAGACCAACATTTGAAGAACTACAGCACGTTTGGAATCAAATGAACTGATACTTTAAAAAACGATCTCAAAACCTATAGCTGACAATGGTATTGGACTATAATATAAGGACTCAAATGAGAAACAAATAGACTTAGGCTATTTGGTAGCTACAGCTTTTAATCTAAGGTCAACTGAGATAACATTTTTTAAACTTTTAAGCAGGCCCATTTTTGTTTACGTTATTCAATCTGCTATTAACAGACATTACAATGCTTTTTCATACATCATCATTTGATATATCTAGAAATCAGAGACGTCTAAATGTAATACGATCACAACTTTCCTTCCATTGTTAAAGCTTCCTCTTCGAAATTTGATCCAATGTAATGACACTTATATTAAGTATTAGACATGGGGTATTTGGGAAGTTTATATCATCAAATAATTATACATATATTGAGATCTATCACACTATAACCATCACCACCTCGTTAATTCGTTACTTAAACCAGGACTGGGGCGCATATAGAGAGGTCTGTAAATGACATCTTGGATATTTCCTGACGTGCAGTTTAACTTTGCCTCTACCACCCCCCCCCTCCTCCATTCCTAATCGTTTATTTGTCAACAATATCGATACATAAAACGAAATCGATCTCGAGTACTAAATTATGATTGGATTAAAGCACTGATGTTTGGTTCCCTTTTTGCACTCCCTTAAGTTGATGCTTCGACCAGGAAGATTACTAAGGTCGGGTTATTCCGTATTATCTCATTACCGCCAATACAAGTGTAGTTATACGCTTGGAATAGAAAGACTTATATAGTACAATGAAACTAGAGTTATTCTCGTAACTAAACAAATGAATTTTTAGCAGGATCAGAACATTAATATATTGATGTAAAGGATCTATGATTTTTGTATTGTCCGCTGTCAAAGCAGACGAGCGTCGCAATAGCAAAAGCAGTAAATCTCTATACACAAGTAGCTGTCCTTTTTGTCCACATTTAACCCACAGAGAAAGACATTTCCATTTACAATCGGATTACCCAAAGCGGAGTTAATCCAAATAGTATTAATCTTCTGATCCATCGAAACGGCCATTTTAAGAAGTTGCACAAGCGGGGTCCAGTGGTTTGAACATTCAAACAGCTTCTTTTGGATATTTCTACAAATAAAGATGGCCAGCACACTTCCCAAAAGTGGGAAGGCTGGGATTGGGAGATATAGTTAAGCATATAAGGATTTGGATATATAGCAGTGATAAACCAGTGGTGGGATAAAGACACAGGGAAAATACGAACACAACAAGATGGCGATGGCCCGTCTGGTTGTGATTGTGGCCATTTTAGGTATGTTCTTATATTACATTTTAAATATGATGAAATTCCACCGGTGTAGTTGACAACGAACAAGCTAACGTAAAAATGACTATAAATTATTCTTATGGATTTGAGTCAAGAGAGAGTAAAAACTAAAAAATGAGGAAGTTGACTTGAACAATAAGACTAGTATAAGCAGCCATTTTGGAATGCGTGACAAATCGTTTTTTGTAACATTTATATTCGTTCTATGAAATCTATAATGATTATTTCAAATTATTTCAGGCATTTTATCCAAACATAGTGATGCTGATTGTACCGGGGGAGACGCTCTTAGTGTTTATGCATGTACCTCTGCATTTTATAACTCATTTGGGGGAAATTTGACAGCTTTACTTAATTGCGAATTTAGTTGCACGTAAGTATAACATCTCATCTAAATATCATAAAACGTTTATAATACACATTTAAAGAATATTCATTAAAAACACTAGTGACCAAAAGTGATCTGATTAGCAGGTGTTAATATATAGATTTTTAAAATTAAAAATTAATTTAAGAATAATAGCGCTTAATACTCACATGGATACGATACATTATCTTATGACTAAACGTATGATTTTATTTAGATTTCCGTGTATTTTAAAACACAAATATATTTAAAGTCACGTCCTCACTACTCTAAATGAGCAAAATGATAAATGCCTCAATGTTCATTTTTTCAGGGATTATGAATCAACGGTGTCCTGTCTCAATAGTCTTAATTCTGTTGAATGTCGACAAGAGACGCCAACTTTATTTAACAACTACACAAGTGAGTATGTCATTCATCCAACAAAAACTGATTGCTTATATAGACTTATTTTCTTTGACTTTCAGTCATTTACAAATTAGCTTCATGATAATTGAAACTTCATAGAAACTGTTTTTTTACTTGTATATAAATTTCATTTGATTTTATAATCAAGTACAGCATACATGTATGTGTATCCAGGATTCAAAAACAGCAAGAAGAGGCTGGGCAAATAAATATAGGCGAGGGGAAACTAAACAAATGAAAGATGCTATGAACCTGGTATAGGATAAAATGTTCACAACTTGTGTCAATAACTATTTCTGTCATTTTTTCTATAAATGCCTTGTTGCCTATGTCAGAGCTACTGTGCATTGTAGTTTGTTACAAAACATCTAATTTTAGTTAAAGTGACTTTCAAAGACCTTAGAGGCTAAAATGAGGGATTTCAAGAAATACTCCTCAAGAAAATATTTATTACTTTTTGGGTTTTTTATAATATAGGTAGAATGTCTGTATGTGGCTTTAATACGTGCGTTGATTAAGCCATAGTATCAATGCGGGTATGTACATTTTGATTCACTTTCCAGTTGTCAATGGAATGGCGTGTGAATACGAGGACTTACCAGAGAAGTGTCCTAATGTTGCCCCTGTCAACGATGCGCCAGGTATGGTACTAAAATAATCTTGATTATAAGTAATTCCGCAAATTCAAAAATGTCTAAAACCTAAAGTGTTGATGATTAAGGCCATTTGCAATGATGCATTGTAACGTTAATATCAGGTGCAGAAGGAAAGAATGAGTCTTACTGTTTAAGAATTTCTTTGCTTTTGCTCAAAATCAATTTTAAAGTATTTTCATTGTATTCATTTAATAGATGGAGATGAAATTCAAACACACGTTGTATCACACTTTAAGCTAAATTCAAGATTTACTTGAGCAAAATTAATCAAATATCTTTTCATAATTTATTTTATTTTTATTTGTAGTAACGGGCGGATGGGGAGAATGGGGCAACTTCTCTGCTTGTACAGCCACATGTGAAGCGGGAATAAGTGTTCGCACGCGTGAGTGTAACAACCCAACACCGGCGAACGGTGGGGCCAACTGTACAGGGAATAGCACTGAAACCGTACTATGTCCCGGACCAGACCATTGTCCGAGTAAGTCCCTAGTTTAACATCGTTTGAAGGTTTTGCTTGAACCATACTAATTTAGGCCATTGGCGTACCTTCTTGAAAACTGTAATCGAGTTATTTTAAACTGCGCAAATTCTCTCATCATCCCATCGATCAGGTTCATCGTTCGAATGGAAATTGCATAATTGGATTTCACTTAATCTCCAAGTTCACGGTCCTACAATCGAAGATTAAAGGCACAAAAGTTCCATATTTAATAGTCCATTCACGGCCAATGCCAGTAAACCAATAAATCCATAAACCGAAATTTGAAACGATTTGTTATATTTGCGATTATAAGATTAAGTTTGGTGAACGATTGAAATAGGTTTATTTCATTTTATATTGTTGATTAATCTTTATGTGACACTATGCCTTCTAAGGAACATTGCTATATAGCTAGCCATTTACTCCCAGTCAAAACATCGAGCATTGTAAAACACCAGCTGACTTATTAAAGTAAGAGGACGGTTTTGTTCGTTCGAAAATTGGTATTTCTATTTAAACTTTTACATTTGCAAACAATGTTTACAGAAAAACTCATGATTTCTATTGAGCATAATGTAATGATGTTATCGAAAAGAAGATTTCTGCGAGAGTAAATCGTTTCGAAACAGAAATATTTACCATGGCATCCGCCAAGTATCAATTCTAGTGGTATTATTTCATTGTCATTCTAAAAAAAACAAATATTTTATTACAACAAATTAAACATTATAAATCATATTGAAAATGATGTAACTTTAATTGTTTTTAATGTGTATGTTACATAAGATATATGTTTACAGTTGACGGTGGACTGAGCAATTGGACGAGCCAAGGTTGTAATAGGAATGACGTCACATGTAGCGGTGGTACAGAAACGTGGACGAGAACCTGCGATTCCCCTGAACCAATGTATGGTGGTGCTAACTGCACCGGGGATACACTTAAAGTAACGGGTTGTAACGGATCGGACATATGTTTACGTAGGTTTAATCTAGTTATTACTAAAGATGAAATCAAAATTTAGAATTGCATCGAATCATAAAACTCAAAATAAGTGAAATCGTTTTTGTTTAAAGACTACCTTTAAAAGTTATAGATTTACCCCATTTATTTTTATTAATTCGATCCACTATGTTTTTAGAATCATGTACATCAGACCAGATAACATGCGATGGCGGCGCAAAATGTCTCTCATTCAGCCAAATCTGCAATGGCTTTCCCGATTGTGCTGACGGGTTTGATGAAAGCGAGCTTGCGTGTCTTAGCACAAACCTTCTCAGGGATGACGGTAAGTATTTATGACTGAAGATTCTAATATCTCATAACTATAAATTAAAGGCAAACTCATGAGTTACCATTTTAACTCTTAAAAATAATATAAGCCAATGGAATCAGACAGAAATACATATCAAATATGTATGCGGCCGTAGCTTCACAAAATCGATAGAGAAAATCTACATCTTACTGTATACCAAAATTTTATGCTGCATAATTCTCTCGATTTTGGGAAGCTATGGCCGCCGTATCGTTGCCGTAGATCAAATTAGATACGATTAAGATATAATAAATTGTGGAATAACGAACGATTTGTTTCTTTCAGCCGCTATGCCTGCAACAAGTTTCTCGAAAACAATCTTCCTTGCGATAACAACACTATTGTTGCTGCTAATGTAGTAGATAGGAGATATACCGATCCCGTGCTTGAAAGATAGTTGGAATGAATTGGGGAATTATCTAGAACTGATAGTCAGTCTGTCATGCCCCAGAAGATGGTGTTGATTATCAAGCACTCGGCGTAGTGTAAATATAGGATTAGGACGTCTTCTTAGTGCAATCTATGATAGACCATATACACATAAACAAGCACCTGATTGTTACACCATACATATACATAGGATTTACTCATATGTCTACATGGAAGAATACTGACACGTTACGAAATCTCCAACAAAAAAGAGCTGAAAAATAACTGAATCGACAACAAACGCAACAATGCCTCCTGATTATGTCTAACATAAAATCAGATATGGAAAATAAATATATATTCATGAAGTCAGTTATATTATGACAGAAGATGTTACCAGATGCTGTATATTTTTTATGTATCTTTTATAAATAATTTTCCTTGTGCTGTGAAATTGTGAATGTGATACTTTACTGCTAACACTGCCGTCCGCTGTAACAAAGGTTAATAGGAATATGTCATATCAATCAAAGAGGAGCAGAATAGGAATATGTCATATCAATCAACGGGGACCAGAATAGGAATATGTCATATCAATCAACGGGGACCAGAATAGGAATATGTCATATCAATCAACGGGGACCAGAATAGGAATATGTCATATCAATCAACGGGGAGCAGAATAGGAATATGTCATATCAATCAAAAAGGAGCAGAATAGGAATATGTCATATCAATCAACGGGGAGCAGAATAGGAATATGTCATATCAATCAAAGAGGAGCAGAATAGGAATATGTCATATCAATCAACGGGGAGCAGAATAGGAATATGTCATATCAATCAACGGGGAGCAGAATAGGAATATGTCATATCAATCAAAGAGGAGCAGAATAGGAATATGTCATATCAATCAACGGGGAGCAGAGGATATTAAAATAACCGATTTATGATTCATAATGTTAACCGTGCGTTTATTGATGGCATTGATTATTTAAATGCCCAGAATCTTAGAAATGCGCTGAACGAAAATGGTACACATGCATTTCAGCAAACTGCAAAACAATGGGAACATTTAAAACGTTTTCAACAATGGGGAACATTTTATTAGACAGTACTCGTGAACACACACATTAACATTCTACGTCACTTCTTGCTAAGGAGTATATTTCCAATGACCCATGGAATTGACTCAGTCAGTAATGGACGATCATATCCATTCTATATAGGGTGGGTCGAAAAGGACATATCGATTGAATTGTCAATTAACAATTAAGGCGTCCATGACTTCTTTGGCATTTAAAGATAACTGAAACATAAACATACGTCCAAAGGCCCATTCTACAAGTATTTTCCATTTTTCTGTGTTAAATACATAACATACCATGGTCCATCTTTGCGATCTTAGATATTTAAGAAAGGTGCAGTGTTCCATTTTTCTGACCCACCCTGTAATCTTCATCTCCACTAAGAAACACTTTATCAAAAAGAGATTCAGATGGGTGTCGCATTCTATGGTTTTTAACATGCATATGAGTACTTGCTCTGTCTTTATGGAGCTCATGTTTAAGAAAAATGAGACAGAGATAGTCTGACAGAGATTGCAATTTTTAGTACTGATGAATGTTTCCCAATCTGTACTTTTAAAGACTATTTTCTATACAAAAGAGCAAACAACCCAGGTTACTTTACTTCTGATGCAGCTATTTCAGTTTAACTAACTAATTATTTACAAATGATACATGTGTATGTTATTTTTAATAAACTGTACATACTATTGTAGAATGACATTTGAATCTTTTGTTTTTCAATTTTCTAGATGTTTTGATAATATGTAAGCAGTTTCGCTAAAAAAAGGTAAAGAACCGAACAGTATTAAAAACAGTTAGAAAGCAATTGAAAAGTACAAGGTCATAAAGAAACAAACCCAAACAACCAAAATATGATCTTACATACACGGTGTCTACCACAAATACTACAAGACCATCGGACATATCAACCAATCTGCCGTCATTTTACAATACACGCTGGATAATAATGAAAAATTTTGTTGATACTATAACTCAATTAATGTGGGACAGACACAATCCAGTCTCAAGTCATGAAAGTGTTTAAGTGTCATTCTCTCTCCGCAGCTCATTGTCCATAAAACAAAAAGTAAGAAAAAGTCATCATTGGGAAACTATGGATGGTTTCGCGGATTGATATTCCCCATCCAGAAATCTTATATACGGGATAAAGACTGGTACTATAAGTGTCAAGTGATAACTTGTATATCTCAACTTGCACGTTCGATGCATAATCAATCTTATAACTCTGACATCTTGAGCATATCAGTTGGTAAAACTTTGAACTAATAAATTATATTTTTCAGTAAAGCTAAAAAATAATATTTACACAGTTTTATGATGACAGAAATAGAATTTCCAGAATAGAAAACACATGTAGCTCACATGTACAGTATATACTACCTCAAGAACTTAAATCTTTCATTAGTACTTTTGAAACTGTCTTAAAGTGCCTGATAAACTATAAAATGCGCATGCGTCCAGGTGTTGATAAACTATAAATAGCGAAAACCCAGGGTTTGTCATCACAAGGTAAGCCAGGACGTGTTGAGCGAACATCTAGTGTTGATATTGAATTTACATGTAGCCAGATAAGTTTCCTTATTGAAATTACATATAGTTATTAGCAATACTTTGTAGGTGATAATTAATAAAATATGAGTATATATGAGAGAAATTGGCCATTTCGAACCTGTTGAAAGTTTGTGGCTCTCGGCTACACCGGGGAATTTACTTCCATGAGTACAGACACAAATGTGGGGCTCCCCAAGAGGTACGCGAGAAGGTGACCTGGCATCAAATGTTCGACTAAATGTTTCTATCGAGTAGATAAAAGAACGAATACGACAATAAGTTATTGCAAACGACAATTCCGAGCATTCATCTCACTGAAGTATTTTGAAGTGAAGAAAATATGATCTTTGTTTTGAAACATGGATTCAGATGAACGTAACTTCATTCTGACAACTAATCAAAACTGAACAAAATTGATTATACGTAACAGACGATTTATTGTTTTACAATGTTTTGATCGGCTAAACGAATGAAACCAAGAAATTATGACATGTAAAATGGCAATTTTGAAATGTAAAATTTAAAAGTGACAAACACAACCTCCCTATCCACTCTTTATGAGCCCTAATATGTACATGCAGCAGTGGTAGTGTAGAGCTTATTATCACACTACTGGGCTTTGTATTCTAAAGCTTGTTGTTTTTAATAACACTGTTCACTCGACGTAAATGTTTTGTGTGTGCGCAGTCAACGATAATCATTGTTTTATCCCGGTTATATGACCTCGGCAATTATAACAAAACCGTACTAAACGAAAAAAACGCAAATAAGAGAAAGCTTTCACACACATATACAAAATGAACTAGTCTAATCCTGTTTCTTTTGAAATGTTCACATTTAAAGTAAAGTATGGGATGTATTGGCCGGTTATCTTGAACCTGTTTACACGAACTTTGAGTCAACACAGCTACGTACATGTATTTATAGACTGTAATATATGATCTATGTATATACGGTATGGTGGTATCAATATTAACAAGTACTGACATGTATTTCGACATGCAATGCAGTTAAGATGTGAATATATCGATATAGACGTGTAGCATGTATTGAGAAGTTTAACACTTACCGAAAGCATCAAGGGAATATCAAGGGATTACCACAGGAGCAAAATCACCAATATGGCACTACTAAATGTGGTACAGCTCACCGACAACATAGCCTACATAATAGGAATACTTTTCCTCGCTGTCGTCATCAACATTTGTTGGCAGATAGTTCAACTAAGCATAAAGAAACGTCAAGATGACATATCGTTAAAGGACTTCAGTGGCCCCAAACCTCATTGGCTGATGGGGAACCTGAAAGATGTGCGTAAGGCATTCGTATTCTTAGTGTTTAAGTACTGTCAACCCCTAAAGATTTTCTCGCGGGACAGATTTTTTAGACCCAGTGCCCGAAATTCGCGGGATTTGCGGGACATCTACTAAATTCGCGGGATTTTGCGGGACATTTAAGGGATTTGCGTGATTGCGCTAATAGGAGATTTTTTTATCAAATTCGCGGGATTTCGCGGGACCATTCGAGGGACAAACACTAGTATGTATCCAACAGACCGAATATAATATTCGGTCTGTTATGATTGATACCCCTGGCATGGAAATCTCGGCGATATTTTGTGCACATAAATTTCTCGTTTATTACAAGAATGTTCACCTTGAAAATTGGTGAATATGTTGAAGAGATGTTCATCTTAAACTACAAGTAAAAATATTTGTATAAGGCGGGTACAAGTTGATATAAAATAATGAAATGTTCAGACTCACCAAAATTTCAGGATGTGTTCATAAGTAGATCGCGAAATCAATGTCAAGGACGTTTTGAGTTTACGAGATCCAAACGAGATATGCAAATTTTTGAACTTTGACAACACATGACCACTTGTGATTACCTCGGCCTTCTTCATGAATATTTCCGATCTATTATAAATGACGAAAATTAATCGGGATAATGATAATAAATTACTAGATCTAATAAATTCCCACACAAATGGAATTTATCAATACGCTTCCGTAATGTTGCTCCATCCGCTCCACGTGTTATTTGTTTACAAATAGACTGACGTCACTGGCTAAATCTCGTTTATCGTGAGAATTGGCATTGCCAAAATGGCTTGACCTAATCAATGGCTTCGCTACAAGAAGCGTCTGTACATTTTATGAATATCTTCAGTAAGAGGACAATATACGAAAAAATAATATTGTAAGTTCTTTATAAGGTAATCATTTATCATTAAACAACCTTATTTGTAACATTTATGCAACACCACATTTTACAATAGGTGACTTACAGTCTGAATTTATTCAGACGAAGGATACAGTCTAGGACAAACACCCTAATTGCGGGACAGTTAACAGGTGTACCACCAAAAACTTCATAGAGGGACAGATTTTTTAGACAAAGTGCCCTAAATTTGCGGGATTTCGCGGGACATCCACCTAAATTTGCAGGATGTCCCGGGACATTCAAGGGATTTGCGTGATTGGGACTAATGTAAAAGCGTGTACAAGTACTTAAATCAAACTTTCAGATACTGATTAATCAAATATAATGCACCGTTACATTGTAACTTAAATAAACGTCAACACAATTTCACAAAATACGCATAGGAATATTATTAAACTTTATTGTAATTTATCAAAAACAAAAACCATGCTTCAGGTGTGATTACAGTTGGGGACAAAAATAAATGACAGGTCGATTTTCGATCACCATTTCCTAATTATGGTCGTCTGAAAGCCCATAATTTCCAATATTGTCTTGATACATATCCCTTAAAATTTGTATATTTCACATTTTGTATAATCTCATCCACTGATGTATGGCCTCTTGAAAATTCTCTTATTTTTAACATGGGAAATTCTCACTTCAGCAAATCCACCTGTCATTTATTTATGTCCCGAACTGTACCTACGAAATTCAAAAATTCGGAACAATACTTTGCACTTCTGGCGTCGTGACCAACTATGAAACGCTTACCCCCATAATGTTATATATTAAAATGTACCTATTCATATACTGTAGGCATGGGCTTTCATTGAAAGCCCATGATATAGGGGTTCGATTAATCTACATCAAATTATAGGGAATGAGGTTAATTTTCTAGATAGGGTTTGTATAAAAAACCGGGTACCGGGTAGTAAATCCTCCATGCTGGGTTCAAACTTGGTACCCGGTCGAAAAAAAACCAAAAAACGAAATATACGAATACACAACATAATTAGATCATTAGAAAACGTGTAAGATTTGTTTCGAATTTACCAAAATGTATGTAACTTCATTCAAAATTGAGCTAGAAGCTTCAAATAAAAAGCATTTAAGGCTCTTTTCTTCCTCTATCATCTTGGTCATATTTCCATTGGTAATGAAGGGGGGGGGGTGCGATCGCACCCCCTCCTGGCTACGCCAATGACATTGTAAGACGATTTGAAAAACAAGACAAATCAATCTTACTCTTTTTTCAATAGTTCGTATGTTCGTACGTGAATTGTTTTGATTATGATTTAAATCTGTAAATAGCTCGTTGCTTTAGCAGAGAGGTGACGTGTGTTAATTTGCATGATGCAACGTGTAAGATTTTGCTTATTAATCATAATTTAAGTTATCCCAATTTATGACAAAATGTCCACTGAATTGTAAATTGTTATGTCTTACAATGTCATAGGCGTAGCCAGGAGAGGGTGCAATGGTGCGATCGCACCCCCCCCCCCCCATAACCAATGAAAATATGGCCATAACGATAGAGGAAGAAAAGTGCCTTAAAATATGCTTTTTATTTGAAGCTTCTAGCTCAATTTTGAATCATGTTACATACATTTTTGCAAATTCAAAACAAATCTTACACGTTTTCTCATAATCTAATTATGTTATACAGTGGGGGGCATAAAGAATTACAAAACCTATGGAAATTACATGTTGTCGCATATGTAATAAATTCTTACCTCAGTGTATTCAGTGCTCTATTTTCTCCGTCATAGTAAGTCCAGATATAGTGGAATTTGTGTCCATAATGACAAATAAGAACTTAAAAATTTGATGTGGAATTCACGTGTTAATGCCGACTCTTCAAATGTTGAGGTGATTTTGGAGCCAGATTACGCCGCAATGTGGGTTGGCTCCCAGAATGCAACATGACACGTGTCAGCTTTCAAAATGCCATTCCGCCGTTTTGAAATACGTCACGAATAAATAAGGTTACTTGATGTTGCATTCTGGGAGTCAATCCTCCTTGGATCACAAACATGGCGATTCATGAAAACATTAGTCCGATTTGGTAGGGATTTATCCATCATTTGCAGGTATGAGGCTTTGGATTCATTTATTGTGCTACTTAAAGTGGATGGGAATTATTTTTCTACCACTTGGGAGAGTTTGATACATGAAACTTAGAATTTAGCTCATTGTGACAACTTTTGAGGGTTGAGATTTATTTTTGTCCCCTACTTTATATTCGTATTTTTCGTTTTGTGGGTACCCGTTTTTTTTGACCGGGTACCGGGTACCAAGTTTGAACCCAGCATGGAGGATTTACTACCCGGTACCCGGTTTTTTATACAAACCCTTTCTAGATATCAGTGTACATTTATTGTAACTCGCGTTTGCTAACATTTGCTCAGTTCTGAGATGAAGGCCACACGGGTAGTAAAAAGGCCAACGTTGGAACTATTTGTGACCTACATCCCTATTTTCGTAATTAAAATGAAAGTTGAACCCTTCCCCTTTATTTTGATACCAAACAACAGCATGCTAGGTACTTAAAATTAGGTAAACTTTACTCCTCAAAAGTGCAAAAACTTAGCTTCTTATATAAGATAAGATAATTAAAATATAGGGGATTGCAACAATTTCGGAAATTCGCGGAGGTCAAAGCCACATTTTGCGGGACTTCGCGGGACAATGCGGGACACGCGAATTAGCCTAATTTTGATCAAATTCGCGGGATAATCCCGCCATTCGCGGGACACTTGACAGCTCTGAGTGTTTGTATCTCAAAATGGTTGGGTATAAACGACTACTACATCATTTACTTATACTAATTTAATATACTCTTCAACTTAAACGTCAATTAATGAATTCTCCCTGGGGATTTTTCATAAAACATATAAGTTGAACATACAATGTTTCGTTTGATCATTTCAGACCACAGTTGACACAATGCTGGAGAGACAAACAGAATGGGCAAAGATTTATGGAGGAGCTCACAAAATTCTTGTCGGTCCATGGATGTCAGTGCTCCGTCTTGCAATGCCTGACACACTGCAAAAGGTCATTTCAACAGCAGGTAAAAAAATCATTTGTGGCTTTTAACCGAGACCGTGGGACGATATCAAAGCTAGTATATATATATTCAAATTTCATGTGCTGATTCTCTTTAAAATTGCATTTTATCTCTTGACCTATATAAAAAAAATCAAAAAAATCTCTTGACCCCCAGTCATATGATCTCAAATGTTTTGACTACAAAAAAAGATGCATGCTATACTACAGCAGGCCGTTTGCTGGATAATGTAAGCAGAGGGAGTACAAAACCGTTTCCTTGTTCCTTTTATGTAATGTTTTATATGTTAAATAGACAATTATATTCTTCCAGAACCAAAAGATCCGATGACATATAATTTCATCAAACCTTGGATTGGTAAGTAGTAAATATTTGGTTTAATACACCGTTGGTCATATTTAGATATATTTATTTATTCATTTTTTATTTAAATACCTTATACCTTGTATATGAGCATTAAGTCTGTTAATGATTATGTTCTTAAACAACATTTGTACATATTTCTCTTTTCCATGGTTTCAGGCGATGGTCTTTTGATTAGTGGTGGGAAGAAATGGTTCAGAAATAGACGGCTTTTAACACCAGCTTTCCACTTCGATATTCTTAAACCATACGTTCGGATTTTTAGTCAGTCATCAATAATCATGGTGGTATGTTGGATTTGCTGCTTGTTTTGGCTTTGTTTATTAAAAAATTCAATTAGCTTTTATTCCCTTGGTCTGTTGACTGAAATATTCAATATTAGCTATAATGAGACTCCTTTGAACTGCATTTCCACAAATTAGCTTTGAATTGAACATGCAGTCATCCATCATCATCCATCATCATATTAGTCCATGGTATGGAATCTCTAGGACGTCTAATAAAGGAGCTGGTAGCACACTATAGCACAGCGATATTTGGCCTAACATTAACATATTTACATATGTTCCCTAATAATTTGTATTATAACCATTTAATATACTTCCGGCTTTTAGGCTGAATTATGCCTGCCATTAACAGAGGTCAAAAAATTACCCAAAAATAAAATCCCAATTTTTCACAACTTGGAGTACACAATGCAACAGAAAATAATACAAAATGATTTTAAATATATATGATTTAGGTTTCTAAGCTATAAGTTACATGGATTACTAGCATATTATGTTCCTTTAAAATTGACAAAACCGTTAAAGATGGCGATTTATGTTTTTAAGGAAAAATGGAAGCAACTTATCGGGTCTGATGGTGTCAGATCCATCGATATGTTTGAACATGTCAGTCTCCATACATTGGACAGTATACTAAAGTGTGCCTTTGGATATGAGAGCAACTGCCAACAAGATGGGTTAGTTCCCTCTTATATATATACCCCTGATAACTTGACATTCAATGGACACATAGAATCACTGAAAGAGTGAATTGCAAAATTAAAGCAAATATAGGGCAGATTTCGAAAGATATCAAAAGAAGTGTGTATGAATTCATTTACTGTTTTATTCATTCTGAATATAGATTACTTTATCCATAAATGGGGAATCAAACTAAATTTGAAGAAGTAAATTTCTTCTGTTGATATATTAGGCCAGTGGAGGTCTTACACAATGCAGATTAGTTGAACCATTGTAATTGTACACCATATAACTTTATTACTTGAACAAATGTTTTCAGGCGGAACAACCCTTATATCAAATACATATATGAGCTTTCGGAACTGGTTACCCAAAGATTCAGATTTCCTCCTTACCACAGCGATTTAATATACTACCTATCTCCAGCGGGTTACAGATTCAGACGGGCTACCCGATTTGCGCGAGCTTTCACCCAAGACGTTGTTAGGAAACGAAGGGAGCATCTTAAAAACAAGGTAGATCAGGTTCATCTACAACATTGAGATATAGATTTTTTGATTTAGCACTCAATTGGTCTTTTACGGCAACTGATGACCGTGGAATAGAGGAGTTTCTAAATAGCTTTGAAATCTCGCTAATTCTCGTTTTTACATGAGATTATAAGAGATTTGCACTTTTTTCCTCTGATGAATTAATTTTCCTTATTTTTGATAGCATATTTGGATTCAGTGACAAAGGACGGGTGTCATTAAGGGCCCTTTTTAGCCCCCAAAGATATCTGATAATAATGCATATCATATTGATGAAAAATCATTTGTGCTTTATAAAAATACAATTTCAGCGAATTTTGACCTTTGATGTTCACACAACAGTCATTTAAAGATCATATACCATTTTTGGTGTTTTTACAAAAAATTCTTTATTTATTGTTGTCTAAGTAAATAGTATATAAATATTAACCAATTTAAATATATTAAAATGTAATGTATGAAATATTATTATATTCATGGAAAAGCACAATATTGACAAAATGCAAATGCTATTTTGGTAGGTTCTGGGCTAGCAATGGGTACATTTCAACTGTGACTGTAATGGATTACTATTGACTTTTATCAACATCACAGGGCAACATTTAAGCAACTTAAATACATGGAAAATCAAAGATTTCCTCTCATTTCTAAAACGAGGAACAAAAGCATGAATTCAAGGAAAATAAATGATGGCCTGCGTCAAAATATATAACATATGAGAAAGTTGTGGCACAGTAAACGATATGTATAGGATATCATATGATTTTAAATGATTTTATCTTTATCTCCGAGTTGATATCAATATCTTGCCAAGTTAGCATAGCGAATTAGCGCAGATATTGATATCAATGAGTTGGATGAACACAATATCACGAAAATTCATAGGATGTTCTATTTTTCCCATAGTTCACCTCTAAAACTAAACAAACCATATCAAAACAACATCCATTCATTCATTCATCCCTGTGATGTCATGAAATCACTATGTAACAAAACACATCATATTGGTGGTAGTTTTCAAATCCCTGCCAAAAGGTGATATCTGTGAAATATTTTCCGTATTCCACAGATATCACTTTTTCCACGCATTTGCAAAATATCATAAATATGTTTTCATGTTACCTAACAGAGCGGAACAGAGTTCAACTATGGGATAAAGAATAAAAAATAGGTACATAATTGAATTACCACTCCAAAAATATTAATAAATATGAGGGTTTAAAGAAAGAATATTGAATATGAGATTCAAAAAGACAAGTGGCCTCATGTCTCACATTACCCAAACCCAAGATCCTTAATGTCATATATACTTGTATACTGTATACCAATGTTATTTACTGGGAGGATTAAATATGGAGTGTATAGCAATGGTCAATACGATATTTCCAGATGGATATTTTTTCCCTAGAAGCGGAACCCAAACTCAGTCATGACATAGAAGCTAACTTTTGCAATTAATAGAAACTTGTTTTTTATTATATTTTTGTGTTCTATATTTGAGATGAAATAATATGAGATTAATTTCTACAAGAGGATGGAACTAATGTGAACTTGTATATTGAACTATACTCCTTTTCTGAATAAACAGAACAACATTTTATCCAAGCCAATTAAGAAAACCAAGGCCAATGAGTGTAATTTATGCCCAGTTAAACTAACACAATAACAACTTTTTGTCTGGACTCACTTATTTTGTAAGAATGAATTGTATTACTGTTTACTGCATTAAATGTCAAGTATGCTATCTGTATTTAATTTCAAATGCCTATCTCACTTATCGAAGGTATACAAAAAATGTTATTTTGAAACAAATTCAGCACAACCTAAACCATGTCCACATAATATGACAAATCCGAGATGGCTGCCACAATTTTAGATCCATGCACATGTGAAGAAGTTAGAAATACACACGGTCCACAAGTTCCATCCCCAATAAAATGGGAAGTTTAAGGTTTTCACACATATCAACTCTATTCCTATATACTTTATATTTGTGGTAAGGCTTGTGATCTAGGTAAACTTAGCATGTTCATGTACCTCCTATCCTCTGAAGCTAAAAACAGAAATAGTGACTTCAATTGAGAAAAATGAATCTTATGGGCCCCATATACATTTTGAGTGGCTGTCCGGCTTAAGTTAGATACTACTGATAATCTGAGATTGAAAATTATGTCAAGTTTAGTCCTCAGCCTCTCATAACGGATAACTTCGAGGTAATTGTGTTGTTACTGCAAAAACCTCTATTTCTTCATCACAAATCTACCATCTTTTGCATCTGTCAAAACCCTTCATTTCATGTTAATTTTCAGACTTTCGCTTGTGCCATCATTAAATATATATATTCAACTTGTTATTCAGAATATTTTAAGAACTTTTCATGAATTTTTTTATTTTCACACTTTTGAAAAAATGACTAAGTCAGAGAATGGCCTCTTAATGGCATGTCCCCTTTTCTACAATTATAGCTTTGATTTAAACAGTTATGTCATTTAAATCATTTTCCAAGACATTTAAAAAAAACGTGGGCCAAATCTCCATTGGTGCAATGCTGAAATTCATTAAAACCTTGGTTTATTCATATGGCAACCAATATTTTCATGTTTAAACACAATATGTACATTGACAGGGTCATCCAATAGTACGCCATTCAAGTTTCAGACAGATTCAACCAACACTCTTTGTTAAATCATGAAATTAAGTGACTGTTGCAAGTTTCTAGCATTGGAGTGAGTGGAGGTCTGGCCCTAGAAAATCAAAGACAACAAGGGTGACATCTATTATGTCAGCACTTTTCAGCTATTTAGAAACTATACTATTAGTCAACATACACTTATTTAGCCTTATAGTCAGCATATTTATCTACTTTGAACTAAGAAAGGTTTGCGCAGTCGGGTTTGGTATTGTATTTTGGTATTACATTCCATATACTCGCATATCATTTTTAATTATTCGCATCACACTTTAATTTTGATATTTAACTAAATGCAAAACAAATTGAAAGTATATTGTACATTTATATTTGTGTACCTAGTGTTCCATCGTATTTACAGCAAGATGCAAATGAAAATGGAGTCAAGAGAAAGTATTTAGACTTCTTGGATATCCTGTTGGTCACAAAGGTATTGTGATATAAACCTACATCTTCATCAACTGGTTTTACAATTTCTTTACAATTAGTAAGATAATATGATTGATTTGTTAAACAAATATATCATTGGTGAAATATGAGAATCCTACTTTTTTGTCTCATCCGAATGTTCATCCTAGATATAGGATGGTACAACTATTCTGATATTTCTATATAGGACGAAGATGGCAATGGTTTATCAGACCAGGAAATCCAAGACGAGGTTGACACATTTATGTTCGAAGGGCATGACACAACAGCAAGTGGTAATTCGATTGGTAGATTTCATAACCATACAGCGAATTTTATGAAAACGAAAATGATTATTCTAGATAAACAAATATAGATCACTACAAATAATAAGGCATTTTAATTACATAACAATTTATTCTGTTATATATTACATCATATATGCGGTTAATATACACTATTATTAGATATATTAAAATATGTGTCTCCATTGTTTTAGGTATATCCTGGTGTTTATACAATCTTGCAAACAATCCTGAGTGCCAGGACAAATGTAGACAAGAGGCGTATGAAGTTATTGGCGATAGAGAACATTTTTCTTGGTAAATTGTTTCCAAATTTGTAATTACGAATAGTGATCAAATAAGATCTTAAACGGTTCTTGATAAATTATTTGATTCTGGACCGGGTTCTGACATAATTTTTTCATTAAGATTTCATTCCGGAGCAATACATCAAGTGGACTTCATTTTGCATTTCCAAAAAAACAGTTAATAATGCTCAGTTATTCAAATTAAAGTTATCACATTTGATTTATACGAAGTCCTTTTATTGTCTGATATCTTTATTTATGTAGGGAGGATATGCCAAAACTTAACTACATACACATGTGCATAAAGGAGAGTCTGCGTACACACCCTCCTGTCGCCAACATTGTACGAAAAACTACTAAACCAGTCACATTTCCTGATGGTAGAAAGGCCCCTGAAGGTACGATTTACAAAATAGATGATGTTTTATTTTTTGATAACTACACAGCCTTAGTATATTATCACGATTTCATGTTTGAAGTAAGCTTAAAGCTTATTTCGTTTTATTTTCAGATACGCGCATGGGTCTAGGAATCTATGCAGTACACCACAATCCAGCTGTCTGGCCAGATCCAGAGAAGTATGATCCAGAACGCTTCTCCCCTGATAATTCAAAGAATAGACCACCACACGCATACATTCCATTTTCGGCTGGACCAAGGTAATTTTCAATATGTCTATCGACATGAGTAGCTTTTTAAGATGACATTTTAGATCTATGAAAGTAGATTCTAAATTTCTCATATGGTTCAAATCCAAAAAATGAAATATAATTCTATTAGTAAATTAGTAAATACAATACCGGTATATAGCTCTCAATGGCTTTGGTGTTTTTCAGAAACTGCATTGGCCAAAATTTCGCCATGAATGAAATGAAGACATGCATTGCAAATGTAGTAAGGAACTTCAAATTGGAGGTTGACACAACAAAACGTGTGTCAAAGCTACCGGAAATTATTCTAAGATCAAAAGGTGGATTGTGGTTGAACGTTACGCCCGTTTGATTTGACATAGAAAGTAATATTGTGTACAGACTGTGTCCAATCAAATTAAATGTAAGACTAAAATATCTAGTGAGACATTTCAATATTTGAATATTAAAAGGATGTCATCTTTTAATTCATACGTTTTTTCGAAAATGTCTCAAAAAACTTTTTAAGACAAGAAAAATCAAGAAAAACGAAATGTTCTACTCATATAATGGATAATCAAAACTATTTTCAAATGTTTATGTAATGTTTCATAAATGATCCGTGATGTATGTAACATGTAACTATTTTTAAAATATATCCTTGATGAAATGCAGCTCGTTAGTAAGATCGATGCACTCGTGTCACTCAGTGTGCAAGCCACACATACTTGTTGACATTAACAACTGGATTCACATCGTGAATATACTGTGTAAAAATAAATACATGTCAATAAATTATATCTTTAATACAAACAATACTTAAAAGAAAATGCACGGCGAGTCTGCCGACGCCCTTGTCTCTTGACATGTCCTCCCCTAAATTGCCGCGAAGTCAACAATGTTCGATTCTAACAGTTGGTTGTTGGATTTTCTCAATAAAGATTATATCTAAGGTATGTACGATATTATATAAGCAATTATAACGGGACATCACTGATTGTCCGGGAGATAAACCTATGGCATAATGCATCTTCAAGTTTATGTGTTGGTTTTATGTACACGGAGAAAGTTTCCTTTTACAAATAAAAAGCTTATAACAGTGTTTTCAGGAAGAGGGGCAATTATGACTTTTTTAATGAGGGGAAAACGTTACAATACGTTTCCTTCCATGAAATAAACGTAAAACCTTTTTGAAAACGACCCTAAAGCATAATGACCTTATGGGAAACTACTATAATTGGAAAACCACTATTAAAATGTTCAATTTTGACCTTTTATACTTTATGGCAAAACCTCAACAACAGAATAATTTATTTAATAATCAATTTTGTCCTCGGTCATAGTTTGTTTTTCCACAACCGAAAGAAAGAAATCGAGGATATTTTTGAAGAAAATGACTGACTTCCCAACGATAATTGGATTCACTTTATTGTAGTATCTCTATTACTAGAGTATCCATCCACCTTAGAAAGAAGGCAGAAGGATTTGATCCGATTTTTCAGAAATTTAACCTTTTGAACTACATATACAGGGTGGGCCAAAAAAATTTGCAACCTTTTTAGAAGGCAAAAAAAGTATTATAACATTATGGTATTGACATCAAATTTTTTTTACAGAAACTTAAGGATAGGCATATTTTACCATTTAAATACTGAAGCTAATACTGACTTCAAATTTATTTGTCAGATGTTTGAATATTAATGGTAAATTGTTCATTTGTCCAAGATTTACCATTTTTCCGAGAAAACCTGACTTTCTATGATTTTATGTGATCAACAATAACACATTCATTATGTTTACTAAATCTGCTACAATCTTTGATAACTGTTTAACCAATGTCTAGTACAGGTTTATATCAGGATCTAGTCACTATGGTAATATTGTTACACTGTATTAATTATTTATTAAACAAATGTTCTATGCATCCGCCTTTCACCTCAACAATCACATGGAGACGAGAACTGAACTGGTCAATGGCGAGATCCAGCAGTTCTTGTGGTAGTCGTCTCCACTTATCCTGCAGAACTTCTTATAGTTGATCAATAATTTGTGGGGTATAACCATTAACTACAATACATTGCTCTAGGTGCCCCCATGTGTGATAGTCCCAGGGGTTGGCATCTGGTGTATTGGGTGGCCATTCGACTCAGGACTAATCTTCTTCAAAAGGGACATCTTTCAAGAATGGGGGCTCTTTCAGCCCCAAGTGATTACATATTCCAGCAGGATAGCGCGCCTGACCATAGGCCAAAAGTCACTATGGAATATCTGGAGCAAAATACCCCTTGATTCATTAGTCCTGATGAATAGCCGCCCAATACACCACTTAACAAAGATTGCAGCAGATTTAGTGAACATAATAAATGTTCTATCGATGATCACATAAAATGATAGAAAATCACATTTTCTAGGAAAATCGGTAAATCTCGGACACATGAACAATTTACCATTAATATTCAAACATCTGACAAAAAAATTTGAAGTGAGTATTAGCTTAAATATTTGAATGGTAAAATATGCCTATCCTTAAGTTTCTGTAAAAAAGATTTCAAGTCAATACCATAATGTTATGATATTTTTTTTGCCTTCTAAAAAGGTTGCAAAATTTTTTGGCCCACCCTGTAGTGTCAAGGCTCATGCTGTGAAAAGTTTAGGTATTGCTGTTACTCGCCAAGTCAGGTACTATAACATCCCTCCTTGTTGGCTTGTGACACCAGTTAAGCTAGACTTCAGTATAGTATCATGGCTACTACACGCATGCCTAACGTTAACCATAAGACACATGATTGCATATATAATTGGCAAGAGCGAAAGGTGGTTTCAAATCAGTCACACAGTGGTGAGTTTTGAACTCCGTTAGCCACTATGCGAGGGGTGATCAATAAGTAATGTGAATATGTCTGTAATGCCTCAGGGCGATTGACATTATTACACTCTGTTAATTGTAATATACTATTCATGCAATAAATACTATTAAAAAAAAAAGTATGGCATATCAAAATGGTGTAATTCATGACCATCATGCGGTTAGTTTTGTTCAGCCTGCATTCAATTGCATTGCATGTTAAATAAGCTAAAATAGCTTCAGATTGTGTGACGTTATGTCCGTCCCGGGGTACCTATACCTCTCCCACGGAAATAAAAATATGTCAAAATATATTACATGTTTTGCTATCAAATCTTCAGAGTCGATAGACTCGATAGATTATTGAAAGATGTATCACTGATGAGAAAATCAAAGGGATGGATCAATAAAAACATCTGTGTGAAAAGATCACCCCTCGTATAACCCTTTATTTAATTTGGCAGCTATTGAACTAAATTTGTCAAAAACGTACTGCTGTGCTGATCTGCTGTGTTACTATCAGTCTGGTTTTTGACTAGATTTTACTTTATACCGTTAATAGCGTATAAAAGCATATTTTTTAAACTCTATCCGAATGCTTTACAATCTTAATAAAAAAAGATAAAATGTTGAAAAATACAATAAAATGGACGTACATTTTGTTTGGTTTTGTGACAATATCACTGCTGTGCAACTGGTTTTTATTTGTCACCGTTAGAAATAGGACATTGATTCGCAGAAGGATTGGCACAAATATTGCTCAAAGTGGAAATATTACAGAAATGGAGTTGGAGACCGGGAACAGTGTGGAGGATGTTGTTAATGGAAGTCTTATAGGCCAAACTGTATCAAAAAATGGACATAAAATTACTACATTATTGCACAATGCTTTACTAATGTATTTAGATCAAGGGGATGGGCATATGATACAATTTACATTATTTCTGTATGCATCCTGGAAATACGTCATGAGACATCGGTACCTCAAATCTAACGTTACCATTATCGGCAATACAACATCCCTGCCAGACATCATATTTGACTTGATTGTGTATTGTCACCCAGAAGCATGCAAGCTTCTCCCATTAGATTGCATCCCTATTGAACATGACAATGTCTTAGAGGCTGTTCCAAGATGCTGGTACATTCCGTCTGGTCGACTCCAAAATCATCCAGACTATCCCTCTAACTATGGCTACATTAACACATTTACGTTTCTACTTGATGATAACTTGGGTCAGATTGCAAACAGATATGATAGGATTTTGAGGACAGATACTGATGTGTTTATCTCTCCAGCAATATTAGGTTGGCCCGTCAAATATCCTTTTGTTACTGGCCGAGGGGGTTATGGAGTACCATTTAGTGAAAACAGATTACGGGAAATATCAACAAAACTTGGTTTGCGTCATCAGCACATCTCTAACATTGGAAGCAGCTGGTACGCAGAGCCAGGTATATTCCTGAAAGCTGCTAAGCTTGCATTGAAACTTTCAGTTCACTTCTACAACAATGAATTCAACAAATCCCTACCAGGTCTTGAAGGTGTATTTAACCAATCGACTGATGGAGTATGGCCAAAGTGGTGGCGCTGGGTTTCAACAATGTATGGTAGTGAGCTAGCCGTCAATCATCTCATCCCCAATCTCACTCAAGACAACATAGCTTTTCGATATATGGACAAGGAAAGTACGGATGGTGTGACACCAGTAATGAAGGCACCTCATATACATTGCTGGCACACAAACATAGAATTCAACAAGTTTGTATTTTCAGATAAACTTGTACGATTTATTAGAACAGATATTAAAAAATTATGGATGCAGAATGAGACAATGTTATACCATGGAGATTTGGATGTATCTGGGATGACCATTAGGCAATATGTGACTTATATAGCATGGAATGGAGTCCTCAAATACGTACCACATATGTTTGAAAAAATGATGGCACATTGATTAATATTTGAATGAGTAACGCACTTTATTAATACAATGCATGATATCAAACTCTTCCATGCCAACATGTTCGTTGCTTTGACTTACTTTAATCAACCTATTCCAATTCTTAGTTTTAATATTTGTCCTCTGAAATTACACAAAGTGAGAAATTCTTGTCAAATTGCAACTAGCTACTTTGGCTTACTATACTTTATGATCATCGATTAAACTCATGTCTGCAACTTTACTTTATAACATGAAGTCGCAAGGGGATCATTTGGACCCTCCTCGGCGATATTTTATCATTCTCTGATTGCAATAATAATGTTGGTATTGTTGGAACCCTTGTTCAATTGCCCCTCTAACAAAGTATTGGACTTTTAAGAAAGAAGGTAGACAAAGGTCAAATCAACGTCACTTACACCCCAGTCACATTACATACGGCGACCGCAAGTTGCATATCGTTTCTGCGGTCAGTAACATATCTACGCTCACCGCAGAATTTCTGCGGTCTGGTACTTTTGCAGTCACATTTTCCTACGGCAGCCGCACGGCGAATTTTGAATTTCCATTGGAAAAAGTAAATTTTTAATTCTATTTTATTTAAATCAGTTGAATTTATAAATAATATTTATAGGGCTAGGATATAATATCAAATAAGAAGTGTTAAATGATACATTGACCAATAGTAACTTAATGTTGTAATATACGTTGCTGTGGTATCAGTGACCTTACATCAAGCACTATACCTATTGCTTTGTGTTCACAGCAAAGATATGACAGCAAACCTGACCTAAAAACTGTTTCCAAATGTATATAACCCATCAAAACACTACGGCAGACGCAAGTCAACGTGCGGCCACCGTGGGACTGCTCTGTGGTCTGGCAACGGCCTGTTGATTTCTACGGGGACCGCAGAAATGAACAAATATTATAACTCTGCGTTATAATTTCTACGCCCTCCCTGCGGCCTGTAAAAAACTGGATACGCCACACGGAGACCGCAAGGGAGACGTAGTTTTCTTACGCTCACCGCAGAAATGAAATGAAACAAATTTCAAGGTAAAAGCTTTTCCATAACAAAACGTATGCATGCACTTTCAAGCGTCCAAGCACCCGATAGCTGCAGCTGATGGTATTTTCCATGGAAAGCCTTGTGCACACTTGGAAAAATATATATTTTCTCTCAATTACTAGCTTCTGGGATTTGATTATATTTCCCTAAAGTTCACACCTATATGATGCTGAAGGAAGCATAACTTTGTTTCATATATTGACAGAACAAATAGGGCTTAAACCATCAGGCCCTATACCATTTCCGCATGATTAGTTGAAGATTTGTATTGTGATAACATAAGATGGACATCATCATTTGGCGTGAGCTTTGTGATGTAATGTATTTCCAACATAAGCCACGGGTATTGGCTCTTGACCTATAATCTAAATGTGCGTTGTAACATCTCGGGCACATTGATTTTACTATTAAAACTATAAGTGAACCTTTGTTGCTAGAACCAGCATCAAACGTTTCAAATCTGTTTAAAATTCATTTAATGGAAAAATAACTTGAGTAATGTATTTAATGTATTTTTTCCATTAAGAATTTAGACTGTGAAAAAAATGTTACAATTGCTCACTATTTTAAAAAAGGTACGTTAAAAGCATTATCAAGAAAATATAGTCTCACCTTGCAATAAGGATTGGTTCAAGTGCCAGAACAGCGGATCCATGGATACATATTATTTTAAAAATCAAAATCGTACAGAATATTACAGAATATTAGCCCTCAAAATTATTTGATTTGATTTGAATATATTCTCAAATTGAAAAATTGGAAAAACCAAGAAAGCATAATAGACATTGATAGCAAAAAAAGCAAGATGGACATTTTATTAAAAACGTTAAGCAAATGTTGTTCCAACATTATGGCTTCGGCTTAATTGCTCGGCAAATAACCCAAATATCAACAAATAACAATAAGTTATATCATTCAGATGATTTTTTTATTGAATTATTCTCATCTCAATATTGTCGATCAAAACATTTTATTTGAAGATCTTTGGGGTCACTGATAAGAAAAAGGCTGTAGTCGTTTCATCCGCGATGGCGCTACCGCGGTGTTGTTTGTGATGGTGCTTAACTAAAACGTTCATACTGTCTTGACAGACACCGTCCTTCTGTCTGCAGATAATCAACAATTGTTTGCATTTCAAGGACTCTTTGTATTTCAAAAACATAATGTGACGAACATTTTGTTTCTTTCAGGAGGCAACTGGACAGACCATCTGCTGCTTTGCACATACCATAGCGATCGAGAGATTTATGGAAATGGTTGAAACATTTAGCGTCCACACTCGGGATACACACATCTACGAATAATTCATATACACATTTATTCACGTGTTTTAAAACGGATCCGAAATAAAATAAAGTATTACGAAACACACTATGTAAAAACAAAAGATAACTAGTTATAACAAAAGATCGCTGATTCCAGTAGTTTAGCAATGTCTAAAGTCCCTCCTCCCATCTAATCATTACGTTAATAAGCGTCGAAATCGAATCGAAATTTCGCTTTATATTCACCTTTATTTATTAATACTCTCTAGACCTAAAGACATTCATACCAAACGATTGCAATACATACAATGAACACAAACCTCTACATGTAAATCCATCAGTGAATCCAATTTTTGCCGCCACACCTGAAATCATATGTATTAAAAACAAGATAAAGGCTGCAAATATTTTAGTCGATGGCGTCGCGGTTTTGAAGGTGATATGAATATTTATAAACAATCATCCTGTTACGATAGACACCGTGTCGTTCTGTTTGCAGATACTCAACAACTGTCTGCATTTCAAGAACTCTGCATTTCAATAACACAATGTTACTCATTTGAAAGCAAGTTATACTTCATGTAAAAACAAGTCCACGTACCTCTCCAGGGCATATGATCAGAGAATATTAGTCGATGTGTAAGTGCATGGGCTTTGGTAAGTGTGAGAATCTTTTAACGTATTTTCAAATAGAGGTCTTCTGTTTTAGAGTGAGATGTGCTTGACATATATGATGATAGAAAAAATAGGGAAACTAACTTGTTCCGGCAACGAGAGACATAAGTTTTGTGAGGTCCACTCTGTTTCGATCACCCCGGCAAAGTCCCACATTTCTTAGACGCGCTAACACCAATACTATTGCACGCCCCATTGTTACGTAATTATCTGAGTTGCATTGTGGGTAGCCAGAGGCGCAATCCACCAAAGCTGTAAAGAAATGAGAAGTTAAGCTATTGAACTATGAAATTATAGAATAAAAAACATCTAATATCCTTATTTTAACAAATGTGGATACTCCATGATGGCCACACCAGCGTGTCGTGTATCTTCGTAGAATCTTGATATGGAAATGGTGCGACGTACCTTTTAATATAGCACAGTCGTTCGGAGCTTTTGTGTCTCGTTTGTTAAGATGTCCTTCGGTTTCAAGTTCACCCAAGGCAGCAAAACAGGTGGTAATTATAGTAGATGAGCAATTAGACTGTTGTGGTTTCATGGATGTTGGGACTGAAAGATAATACGAAAATAAACATTTGTTTACCCCATGCCATTTCTTCTTACTCATAAGATTATAACTACTCATTACAAGTAAAAATTGGAAAATGATACAAAAATATATTTGTCACTCAAACATCGTTAAAGGAATATTCCTTGCCAGTCATGCCATACAATTTCTCTCCTGATACGGTAGCTTTAACTATACTTTCCATATTATGTAAAAACATGGAAAATGTTTTGAAATGGCCAATATTGGTAATTGAAGCACATTTCCTATAGGCTATCAACTTTTAAAATTCCACACAGGAACTTTATGTAACCAGGCTATTTCATATTTCATATTGATCAATCCCTATTTTTCCTTATTTATTTTAACAGGTCCTTTTAATCCCCTTTCATCAGTTACTTCTACATTCAGTATTTCAGCATAAGCCTATATACTTTGGATCAAATCCGTCAACCGGTATTTGAGGTATAGCCCGGACAAACAGACGGACGGACGAATGGCTTTCCTGTATTCCACTCGAACTTCGTTCGGTGGAAAAAAAATAATTTTCAGCTGTTTTTCTTTATATCTAATGGTGTATGCAAAAATTGGGATTCGAAGACTTCCTGTCTGAAAGGAGTATTGATATGGTGAACGTTTTGAACACACGTTTCTCTTAATATAAAAAATTAACACATCGTCAATTTAATTGTCCTCTTTTGAATGGTAACCATATAATTTGAAAAATGTATATATACTTTCATCTATATTGTTTTAGAAAACACATCAAACACTTGTTTTGTTCTTGGTATCATGTTTCCAGAGTGAAATTAAACATATTTCCGAACCTCATTGGAACAAAACGACATAAACACAACATGTTTAGGTCTCTCAATATTGGAATTATACAAAGGAAATTTTGATTGATTTTAACAAATTATCTTGTTAATGAAATAAAAGGGTTATCTTGATTTTTATCTATTTTGGGGGGATTTTTGAATACTTTTTTAAAATCAACCAAAAATTCCTTTGTATAACTATAATATTGAGAGGTCTAAAAACAACTGAATATGCTATTTTGTTCCAACAACGTTCAGAAAGACATTTTATATCATTCTCAAGAATTGGTAGAAAGGAACAAAAACAATTGCACAAAAAACAAAAAATGTAAACAAAAACAGTTATATTTTAATATTTCTTTATAATTTTCGCATTAAACTGTTGTCAATCATCCAACATTACATAAAATACCGTGTTTTTTACAGAATGTTTTCAATAATTGGTTTAAGAGAAAAACATTGTTGAATTCAGTTGACCATATCGATACCTATCCTTTTAAAAGATGGCAGTCCACTTGAAAATAACATTAATTTTTAGATGAGCAATATAGAGAGGAACATAGAGAGGAATGATCTGGCAAGGAATATCATTTCAAACGTATGAGAGATGCTATAATTGGTACACACGCTACCGCTGACCTACACGGGTATTCAAACAAACAACTATTGAATGCATACCATACCTCCCAAATCTCCGGATCCAACCACAAGATGTACATATCCTAACAAAAGCACTAACACAACCCTCATGATCTTCAACTGAAAACTGCAAGTATGTCAATCAAACTATATGCGAGCCTAAAATGTAAAAATAAATAAAACAATTCAAACACAAAAACATAATTGCCTTTATGAAGTTATTTCAACTGTTATTCAGACTAAGTTAAACGTTATTTTAGCTAAACACGTACTTGCCTTTGAGGATCTCTTTAATGTTGACACTTTGCGATGAATTTCAAAATTCAATTTTCACTTACTTGGATCAGCGTATTCTGGTACTGAATGAGAGAATCTGCAAACAGGTCGTTTTAATATATCCATCGAATACAACTAATATTGATCTATTATTACATTTAATAACTTAAATCCATCTGCAATTTAGTTAATATTAAAAATGATAAGAGAACACATTTGAAATTGTTGCTAAACAACTTTGACAAACAAAGCTGACCCGATGTTACCCTTTGCATTCGTTTGTCTTCGCTTCTAAAAGAGAGCTTCGTCTTCGGTAGTTTTTCTAGACTCTGCACGCAAGGTAACCCGATGTACTACCTACTTTTTGTAATACCACTTTTTCCCCCAGCAACAGATTTGCCAAATTCCTTTAAAATGATACTGAGTAGCCTATGGGTATCAACAAAAAACTTAAAATTATAGAAAGATTGGTTAAATGTAATTTCACAAGATAGAATAACTCATATCTATCTAGAGGCTACACCGGAAATTAATCAAGAATGATGAATGACCTCCACGAAGCCCCGATTGCAAAAAATGGATTATGCCATATGGGACAATACGAAAGTGAGAGGGATGCTAAAGTAGATTTAGAAAGACCAAAATGCTTCAACAAGCAAGTGTTCATACATTTTTTATTATTATTTATATATTTCATGATTATATAACAATGGAATGTACAAAGAATGATTTGAAGTGCTGTACTGGCTCGTGCCAATACAGAATTTCTCGAGCACAATATATCCTGTATTACACGTCAAATCATTTGACTTCTACACGAGGTCTGTAAATATTAGGTCAAATATAGCTGTGCATAGTATGTAACCAGCTCGGATAGATGGCAGATCACTTCACGTTAAGTGTATTACTCTAACAAAACCTCGCGTGAAAATCGTTTAAACGCTACCTCTCCTCTCCAAATGTTTTGCAACCCAAACTACAGGCCATTGGACCATGTGCTAAAGGTCTTGTAATTTTAACAGTTTTCAGGAAATATGTTATCAATTAAAGCCAATGAGGTGAAAAAGGTCATCAGGAGACCATAATTTTACACGTTTCACGTACACGTTCTTCAAGACACTGCTTACTTAACCCCCACCCCTAACTAATGTCAATTCCGACTTACATACGCTAACTTTTCAGTCGAAATTGGCAAACATTTTGAATGTGCATCAATCTATCAATCACTCTGATATTGTTCTTTTCATAATTCAATAAAAACTCAATTTTGGTATATATTTATACTATAAAGATTTGTGAAGTTATATTAGCATATTCATTTTCATAAGGTCATCGTGCAATAGGAATGTAAATATCAAATCCAGTTTTATATCAATTTACTCGACAATTGAGTCGAGGTGTCTTGAGTGCAAACAGGTGGCAATTTAGGTGGACAACGTGGGGTAAATTATGACATGTTTGCCTATGATACTTAATTAGCGACATAACAAATTCTAAATTTGGACCTCCTTAATTTCAACATCTTACACAAACTTATCACGTCCTTTATTTAATGAACAGTCATGAGCACTATAATAAGACGCCGGGATACAAATTGTATTTGTTTAATATGATAAACCAATAAGGAAGATACAATGATTCCCTTGTTTTTCGTGGAGACAAATATCATCACGCACATGTATTTAATAGAATATGATGCCCGTTTTTATATTTGTTATCAAACTGTGAGCACTTGATAAATGTGAAAAATGTAATAACGACAGCCGCCTATTTTTTGTTTTTTTAAAGGCCCCATATAAAGTTTAAACCACTTTGGCTTATATTGTAGTCTTACCCAATGTTATCAAAGTGTGATATGTTAAACTTTTTTTTAAAATGTCAAAAAGTGGTTTTTGATAGACTTTTTGTTCCAAAATTTGTGAATTTATTTAAAACCAACTTTTAGAGGTCACTCATATCTTCTAATTAGCCACAATTTATACCAATGTATAGCATTCATCCTCCCGTGTTTTTTGCCGAAAAAATTAAGAAAATCGGTTCATAAATAAGCGAGAAATGAACTTATCAGTGCATGAAAATGGTTCTGAGAAAAACGCATTTCAAAATTTTAGTTCTCATAGAAACCAATGGTACAATGATATCTAAAACATAATTTATTTTTCCTTTTAACCTGGTTAGACAATCAACATTGGTTTTTTATGAAAGTCTAACATATTTAGAAAAGATTGACATTGAAAAAAAAATTTCAATTTTTTTCAAAAAGTTTTTGGTACCTTAGTGACATCACTAATGTTTCAAAATAGTTTTGATATGCTAAAACATTGAAGTGGCCCATTAAATATGGCATTTTATTATTGAAATAGTGTGTCCTTTGTTCAATCTTTGCATTGGTGTTAAAAAGATAATCTTTTTTGAAATGCATTAAGAAATATTGGATGATTAAGAAATTTCAACTTTTTTTGAAAAATGGCGGGAAATTTGAATAATTGAGAAATGAAATGCTCACAACTTTTTTTCCAAATTTTTTTTTTGTTCAAAAATCTCTAAAATCACTTTCTAATTCCTGACAAATAGTAAATGAATGATAAAAAAATATTTTCAAACTTTGGACGAGGACTTTAAAGGAATGAGAAATAATGTGAATCAATAAAAATTAAATTAAATTCGAACAATTAATACTTATGAACAAACCTGACCAATGTGATTATCACACCCGGTGATCCGAAAATTGAACGGAGGAGTGCGATTTCTGCTGGAAAATGTTCTATTTTTGTAAAATAAAACATCCCATCCTGCACATAGTCGAATGGCGTAAATTAGCCCTATTTTAATGAATTTTGAAAACCGTTCGTCCTCCACTTTTCCACATACAACAGAAAACACATACTTTTGCGAACAAAATCAACTATTTCTTAAAAAACTAGAGTTTGGGAGCAAAATAATCATGTATGATTTATCAAAAATTGATCTCGTATTATTTGTTTAATGTACACTTGAAAAGTTGAAGGTAACAAAAAATGAGCAAAAAAGGTCGCTGTCAACAGATTCTATTTTTCAAACTATATGACGTCACAATATGGGACACTTACTAAAATTCATCCTTTGAAATAAAACTTCCATCTACCTTTATCAAGACGAAAAACAAGTATAATAGTCATATATTGTTTGAGTTATGAGCGTTTAAAGACGAAAAATAATTCAAAATGTAACGTGTCAACAGGGGATATTTGCCAGATGTTTTGGTAAAAAACAATTTTTTTTAAAGAACGCGCAAGAATCGTGAACGGAGTGTAGTTGATCTAAAAACTTCATCGAAGCAGCTTTAGATATATAACTTTAATTAGAATATTATCTTATAATCCGGGGAATCAAAGTTACATTCACGCGATACCCTTAAAAAACAAATGCGCCATCTTTTTGCAACACGTCTATGTAATGTAATGTAATATATAGACGAATAAAATATTTTTAACAATTAATAATAAAATAAAACGTGTAACTACAAAGTATAATTGCAATTATGAATGCTTTTAAGAACTTAAATAGACTAGATGCGAGTAGAAATAATCTTGATTTACGCCATTAAGTATTCAAAATTCAGTCAATGTGATCTCATATTTGAAATCTGCATGTAAAGGTACATCAAGAAATATGGTTTCGAAAATTGTCTATCAACTTTGAAAATTTTATTTTTTTTGAAAATGTGACTTCTTGTTCGGGTTGATTCCCCATACACCCCATGTTACAAAATCACAAAAAGTGAATTATTTTCTCTTGTTTTGGACAGATAAGATTTTATTTTACTGGACATATTTTAATTTGCATAACTATAAGATACATAAGGGTTATATGAAAATTGAACCACGCAAAAATATGTAATTTAAGTTAAAGGGAACGTTCTACTATACCCGCCATGCTATCTGACCCGAACGAGCCACCTGGTGGTGAATCTGGTAACTACCTACTCGCATCTGCATTATTATAGGTGTTTTCGTAGGCATAACGAAACAAAATGTTCAGTTGTTTCAGGTCACTGAACTCGGCCTGAAATCCTCACTCCTCCCAAACTTATTGTTTAGTAAAAAAAACTTAATAATTTTGAATTTTTCCTTCTGCAGAAACTATATATCATTTCCTTCTTAGAATTCGTTTTAATGCGTCAAATATTTAAAGAGTTCATGCACATTTAACCTCATAATCTATTAAAATTATGAACGCCAGCTGGATAATAATTACTTATTCACAACAAGGAAGGATATTTTCGACGAAATTGAAAACATTATAACAACACATGAACAGAGCAATTGTATGCTTTGAAAATGATTTTAAATCATTTGAAATAAAAATAGGGCGTTTATGAAAATAGAGGTGTCATGGTAAACTTTCAAAAGACAAAATGACGCAAATGACAAGTAGATCATGACTCCCCATAACGATTTTATTTTTCAATTTCAAATATTGATTAATAAGTGTGACATTTGAACTTTTCATATTTAGTGTAGATAACATCATTTAGACATTATAAACATTTCATTTTGAATTTTATTAAAAAACAATTATCAAATCATAATAGGCCTTCAAACCTTTTAGTATAAAAATAAATAGTTTGTGCGAAAAAGATCAAAGTGAAACTGAAACGCAATACCTACAAGGAAGCGGAATTCGTAAAGGATTGGTATCGATATGGTGAACTGAATTTAACAATTACATTAAATAAGTTCATAGTCTGGTAATATTAAATCCATTTATTAGAACACTAATAAATGGATTGAATTCAACAATGTTTTTCTCTTAACTCATTGCTGGCCTGAAAGCTATTTCTGAGGTTTTCTGCTGGTGAATGGCCATCTTGATAAAGAAACTGATCAAAATGCCATATTTTCATATTCACTGGTGATCCACTCGATTACGCTGGTTACCAAAACGGTAACAAAATGTCGGAACGCCGAAGGTACGATTTTTTCTTCCTTATTTCTCGCGTTGTAGGCAGAATCCCCACGACGTTTTTTCTCACAAACGTATATCAGTATCATGTGTTTTAGAAAATGCTCATGTTTGCGAAAAAATAGCTCAGAAGACAACAGAATCGTCGATTTAATTCCTCACTTAAGTTACATAAACGGTTTTGGTTAAAAGTGCAGATCTTAACTGTTTTTCGAAAAACCGTTTATGTAACTTAAGTGAAGAATTAAATCGACGATTCTGTTGTCTTCTGAACTATTTGTTCGCACATATGTTCATTTTCTTTAACCTATGATACTGATACACGTTTGAGTTAAAC